CCCAGGTATTCAAAAGTTGGTCCCACGGTATGACCAATGTCTCAATTCTGGTGGCGAATATGTTGAAAAATAGCTGGACACTTGCTGTATCTGTTGCAATAAATATTTCCATGAAATTGTGTTTTGTTTCTGTAAACGGCCCCAGGGAAACTTACTTTGTGGACGAGCCTCGTAGATAGCAGATTCGAAGGCGAAAGATTCATAATTGAATGGTAGTAACTATTCCCGGAATTTCATGTTCTCAGTTTATTAGTAAATGCAATTTCTATTTGCTACCATGCTACGAAAATGTTTTTACTTTGAAATAATTTCGAATGATTTATTTATTGTGTTTACATTATGATTGTTTCCTGAAGTCTGGTGACGAGACATGAACATATTCTTCTCTCCTTTTACTTAGAGACTATCTCCCTTGTAGCGTCTGATACAGCGTAAAATTCCAGCACAAACTCACACAAAACTTACAGTAATATTTTTTTTGTACTCTGCGTGTGTAATTGACTAAGCCTATTTGGATAATATGAAGTTTTCGGTTTTGGTCCGACTGATTGATCGACACGAAAACGTTTCTGGCTTCTGGATCCTTTATTACCATCAACATTGCTTTTAACAAAACCCTACTTAAGAGATTCAATTAGACGACATACACATTTATACTGCGCTAATAATTAACTACGCAGATTGAAGAGAAACATGATTTGAATCGAAATAAAATGTACAATAAAATGGAGGTGCACCCTATTTGGGCGTAAATGCATGAAGACACAGTCACTATTGTTTAATTTTTAAATTTATAACTTGTTGCAACATGGGAGTTATAATGGAGACAAACAAATGTACTGAAAACATAATAATGGAATTTCTAAAAGGACATATAGACTTTATGTACCACTGGAGAAGAAGATAATATAGAAAGACCTAGAAATGGCCACAGACACCAATTCTTATCCTTTAAATGGGCTTCGAGGACTCGTGAGAAGAGACAATGTTATATAAAGAACAGGCTGAATATAAGATAATTAAAAATATATATATATATCTACGAGTGAGCGGAAAAAAAACAAGCGTGAATGCTATGAATATATAAAATAATAACAATTATTTCACTTTTAATTTACATACTTGCAAATGAAAGTTGTGATTCTGTAGACAACAAAATGGTTTGCTAGGCTGTGAGTGTGGACTGAAGACAGCTCCTGGTACGACTGGCATTATATTTTATATCTGCTACTGGTGAAAGCGTACTCCTTAAAAAAGTAGCACAGCCGAATATATTGTCGCTTCTGTCTACTTTCTATTACTTTACTTTACACACAAAAGTGCAGTTTAATTCGTCGGTGCCACGATAAAATGAAAAACGGTTCTAGGAAAGTCCTCACAAATCCTGGTTTATTGTGTAAAAATATACAAATATAAATGCACATGGTAGACTTGAACTTGATTTCTTATAAACTACAGGCAATATAAAATATATTTATAAAGCAGACATTATATTTCAGTTATAATTTTTGGTCTTGTGTCATTAACCTGACATCGAAGAATTTCCTCCTGCACATTTTATTTTAACAACTAAGTAAAACTGGTATTCCGTAGTCCATATAAAGTTCATTTATTTCCCAGATGTGTGTGTTTGGTTTTAATTATTGTGCATACCTCGTTGAGCTTGATGTTAATTTATTGCTCATACATATCGATTGTTACAAACCTAATCACTATACAGACAGAATCTACATACAGATAGGATTTTTTGGGTACTTAAATATTTATCGTGTTGAAAATCGGTGCAAATATAAACGTTTTAGATCATAACATAGGATATTTTTGGTTACTTAAAAACGTTATTTACAGTGCCTCGGAAGAAATAGATTAATTTAGATTTACCCCAAGTTAAGACCACAAATATAACATTTAATATAAATCTATTGAGTAGTTTCGGAGCTAAAATGTGGGACGGCAAACGCGAGCTTCCCATTGTTTAATATGAAGCGAAGAATACAATTACGTAATAGTCTTACTTTTAGTATTTACAATTCTTGTAGCTAGACCACAGAATTGTCACAGTAGAATAACCCTTTCACACTAATTTGCAAGTCAGGCATGCATTTAAGCGGTTCTATGGTACTAACATGCACTAAAAACCTTTACTCGAAGTTTCACAAATCATTAGTCGTCTGTAAGTAAATGAAGCTAGTAGGGCTATTGCTATAGACTTAACATCTTCAACATGAAGTTGTAGATCCTACAAGATAGGTATTTTTTCTAAAGACGGACGAGAACAGTCAACATATTTTATAAATCTGTATTAAAAATAAATTGGGTGGGGCCTACGCAAAGTATTGTATATTCGTCGGTTATTTGTGTTGGTATTGTCGGAGGACTGATTTTGACTAACGCCAGATCGTCTTCATGCATTCCATTCCAGTAAGGCAATACTTCCGGCTGTTTTACATACAAACGCGTTACAAGTTTTCTTTTTTTAAAGCTTGGTATAAACGTGTGTGCCATCATCTCGTGTACACAGTCTGGGCGCCTGTTGACATCCACGATATAGGATTGCTGAATAAAGAATGAGTTTTTTTATCCACCAGTGTTGAATTTTCGACGTCGAAAAACGCACACATGACATGTGTCTATATGCTGTAGTTTAGGCTATCGAAGATGGTTCGTTGGAACGTTTACTGTAGTGTTTACGCTTATAAGGTAATTAATCGACTGTAATACTACTGTATAATCGACTCAGCATCAGATACTTACCGATTCAGTACAGATTCGCAGATATAACGTAGGCCTACTTGTTACCAAAAAGTGGCTGGTGTCCCCTAGTTACGACACACTGAAATACAACGCATTAAAAATCGCAGCATTTATATATTCCTGAAGAGAGGAGAGGTAGACGATACAGGTTCTTGTAACTGAACTTATAATATGTAATTAAGCCTGTTGATGAATACTTACGAGTGTCGCATGCAACTATATGTCGTCATAGAACTTTTTAAATGTGCCCAATTACCACATTCCGTATTTGTATTTACATCGAGACACGCAATAGCTAAATAATAATAAAAAAAATTACCTTCGTAGTTACGAAATCTGAAGGTTTGCCATTGTTCAAATGAGCTCGTGTCAGAGTTGAAAAACTTCTTTGGAAAGGGGAGGGGGGGGGGAGAACGCGTTCGTATATTTCTGTAGTACAGTAGGCTCCCGATTGTCCGGGTTGGTTGTAAATGTATTTTCCTAGATAATTCACAATAATTAAAAGAAAACACGCAAATGTAATAATTACGTAAGTTAATTAGAGACATGAGTTACATAAAGTATTAATTATTTACTAATAACAGGATTTTATACGAAATTTAATACAGCACTTGAAGTTCTGAGAAATTACTGTCACTGTATTAATAAACGAACTTAGTATACCATATCCCAACGGATAGTAATAACGTTATAATATCGTAAATTTCAAGTTTTATCAACAATTGATTTATGTTGGTACATTAAATAATGTCACTGTTGTATTTATTCCTTTCTTTTGAAATGTTCTAACTTTTACAACAGAATTTTAAAATTAATTTTTAATTTTCGTGTAAATCAGATAGACGCCGGTTAATCCACCCCCTGATAACCGGGAGTCTACTGTACTGTGTACTTATTTATTTTATTTAGTGTTCTGTCTGACGACAGGTCCATATGAACAGGATCCTTCCATCCTTTTCTCGGACTGGGACCTGTTCATATACGTTCTTGGCAGATGATCCAGAAGTGGTTTGCCATTGCCTTCTTCTGGGTGTGAATGGAGTAATTGTTGGGATGCAACGGAGGAAAACTCCGTGTTGCCTAGACCAAGGCCTTGCCCAACACAAGTTATAAATGCGAACCCGAGACCCCAGGATTACAAGACCAGCGTTAGCAATCAACTAGCTTGATCGTATTTCAGTGGGACCTATTACAGAACTCATTTGATGATAACCACAGCAACATGAATGACCTATATTTGAAAGTGGGCTGATTTCACTGGCTTCTGATAGGACAAAGTGTTTCACTATGCATTTATTGTGCCGTCCGCAGAACGTAAAGTTTTGCAAAAAAAAAACAAAAACATTCCATCTTATTAATATACTGCCTTTAATCCTGATTATACTTCGGCCATTCTTCCAAGTTAATGTTGTAGTTCTGGTCGCGTCTCTGGAGAGGCCATGACATCGATAAAAGAACATCATGCAGGAACGGACGGAACAAAGGAACTATAACTAAAAATACTATATCAGAAAATACACTTTGTCAGTGCTAGGTTGAAAACCCCTGCCTTAGAGCAAGTGTAAAACAATATGAAAAATTATTGTTTTATTGTTACTTTAATGCTTCTCAAATAAATAGATATTATACATTATTTCCAATAATTGCTAATATGGGGAAGGGGCTGCCTTATTCCGTCTGTCTGCATGTTTTATCTTCAAAACCTTTGTATGAATTTTGATCAAATTTGGTACTGGGGAACGGGGAGTCTATATTACAATTTATCGAATCAATTTTAGTTTCAACATATTTTACATGAAGTTTAAATCGAATTTCAACAATTTTATAAAAAGTAGTCGAATCGTAGAAGCTGCAAGTTCTGAACCCGTGTTATCCCACCTATTCCGTGTGAAGTACGAATTTATTTAAAAGCACTTCGGAAAGTTTAAGGAAAGATGCAATGAATGTCTTGTATAATAATGGTGCAGGCATTTCGTCCGTAATATCCGTCGAATTCGACGGAGTTTTTTTTCCCTAGGCTTTTCAACGCAGCCTGGGCAAAATAAATTTCTCATCTGTTCTTTGTTCCTTTGTATCAAGTGGGCGTTGAAAGCGATCGATTAGACATTGTGGCTATTCTTTGATGTCTAAGGCATTATTCACTCGCTACCATAGCAACGGTTTATTACGTAGTTTGGCGAGGTGCACTATACCTTCAAAACATCGTGTGGTTTGACCTTATCCATTGTTATATGCTATTTATAGAGTCATTCATTGTCAACAGGACTGGCCATAGCAACAGTAGCTCCTAGAATGAACAAAACTCAAAGTATTCCCTCGTCACAGAAAAGTTACGCAAAACGGTTTATATGTTAAGTGATCACTCTTGTAAATCATAATATAATAATACAGTTTGTTTATTTGTGCAATTTAAAACGATTAATAAGGCCGATTAATGGTTATTTTTTAGAGATACGTAGTCCCGAGAATTTTTTTTTTTTTAATTTTGAAAATTAGGGAAAGTTGTATACAACGGCGCATCGCTTAAAGATTGGAATGAAGTACACAGAACTTTCTGGAAATTGGTATCGTTTGTACGTCGTGTTTTACGTTTGTATTGAATAAATATGCGATTGCCTCTGCTACCTGCGAATCAGATGGCGTGGAAAGCGATCGATTCGACACTGCGCCGAATTCAACACCTAAGGCGTCGTATGTTTCTTCCCATAGCAACGGTTAGTACGGAATTTAACAAGGTACACCACACCATTATAAAATCAAATGGTCTGACGTTATCCATTGTTGTATACGATTTATAGTCGTTTATTATCAACAAGAGACGAAGAGGGTCTATACTGTGATATTGTAAGTTATAAATAAAATGTACTGTGTAGAAGAAAATGTTTACATACTGCGAATTTGTATTAATTTAAAAGTTAAACAATGGAGAAAACGAAAATTTGGTATTGACTAAAGCGTTCGTTTTTGTATGTAGCATAAATATTTATTACAAAAACCGTTGAAATTTAAATATATGGCTCAGCGTTTCTCAACCGGGGTTCCCCGGAACCTTAGGGTTCCGCGAACAATCGCCGGGAGTTCCGCGAGAAATTGTGATGAATAGGCTAATCATATGTAAATGTATTTTTGAGTCATTTTTATGCTTAATTTCATATTCGTAATTTTACTATACACCTACGACATATTCTCGGGAAATTCTTGTGTATTATAATAAAGTCTTCAACCTGTTATGTCATTTAGAAATATAATAATCATAAGAAATATATTTAGCGATGTCTATACGGCGCCAGCGTGAAACCGTCTTTAGTAATCAGTGTACAGGAGCTCTACGTGGTGGATTCACGTATCATCGAGTGACTCAAGTAAATTTTATTATTTAAATTGGCTCCAAAAATAACATTTCCTTGACACATATATTTCTTCATATGACATTTTACTTTGATTTATCTTATGCCTTTTTAACATTGTCAATAAACGATTTAGTTATTGTAGTAGTTATTATCTGTTATCGTTCTGTTTATATGTGTTATATACGATATTGGTTATTTATGTTTAATTTTTGTGTGAATGAAAACCTCCGTATGAGGTCTCTTGAAGAGACATGAATATTATTTCAAGGGCAAAAAAGTTGAGAAACGCTGGTGTATGTAAATACAACAGACAGATGTTGTTAGTTGGTGATAATTTTTTTAAAATCGCTATTAGAGTTCAGACAATGTAAAAACGCAAGTTTTTTATCTTGAACGCAAGATTCATTCATTGACTCGTACAAACTTATTTTCTTACTAACAATATAAACGGGCGAATTGTAATCTAATATATACACTTCACGCAAGTTTCGCCGAAATGCATGATCACACATTGTTTACTTTTTTTCTGCATTGATTCAATTTTATATCTAAAACTGGTTTTGACTTTTCTAATAATATTATAATTGATAAATAATTAACGGCAATAAAACATTAAATTGGTATAAGTGAATGACGTAATAAAACGATCTAAACACTCGTAGTAAGCTGGAAATGTGTTCGTTTTACTAAACGTATTTAATAAATAATGTAATTGTTCCAAATTAAAATTATCTTCACCAGCACTATGGTTAAATATAAGCTCAAAATAAGAATTTAATTTTTGGGGCTACACTTACCATTTATTCTGATTAAAATAACAAGGTGTATAGTTTTTATTTATAATGGGACCGAGAGAGATGGCTCATATGTAACGCGTCTGGCTAGAATTCTGCAGTAACTTTTGCTACATTACGTCATATGGATGTTTACTAAACATGGTTCTAAAGGGTACGAGTATATGATCAACATTCCGTACGCAGACATTCAAACTGCATTAGTAATATTTGAGGTTCTCACGGCGAGGAGTACGAAGATGACTCTTATGGGTGGTAGTCTGCTAGAAGTAATCGTGGTGTCTGCTGCTTCCATTATCTGGGTCTCCATCATCACCCTGTTAATGAAGGCGTCAGGTTAATGTCGGGTAACTTTTGCCAGACTACATGGTGCAACATCCCGGAAGACACCCATCGTCTTATTTAAACTGCATTCTTTCTTCTCGTGCACAACCTCTGGTTCAACACATTCGCTGCCAGATTTGGTGATTTTCATTTATCAGAGGCAATTTAAATCCACCAGAAATTTAGTACATTATTTAAATAACACCGGGAAGATACGATTATCAATAAATAAATGGCATAGAAATCAGGAAAAAAAAATTTAAGCGTTGGATATTGGACAATTTGGTGTTATGTACACAACCTTCTGTACAGAGGTCTCAGCTTTATAAATGACTGATTGATTGTTTAAGGTCGCATTGTATTAGAGACGATACAATAAAAATATTGCTATGGCAGAAGATACAAAATCAGATAAGGGACAAGTTGCAGAGGATGAAGACGATCCACGCCTGGAATTCATGTTCAGCTATTTACAATTGTCTATGCACCTTAAGCCTGATAAATGGGCTAAACTGCTAGGAAACAGAGAATTAGCTGTAAGTAATGTTCTTTTAATTTCTTATGATTTTCTTCAGCTTCAGAAGTGCTAATTTGCCCCTGTTTCAGTTGCAGAATATGAAACATACCATTGGGTATGTAGGCCAGGGATCTGATTGGTTCTCTGCTGACAGAAACAAAAGACTCAATACCACCAACATCAAAGTGCAACACTGGACACAATCTTGAGTCACTTCAATCCAGTTTATATCATTACCTCCTATTTTGTCAAATCCAGATAATATTGTCCTCACATCTGAGTTTCCAAAGTGACCGTTTTTCAATAGGTTTTCCCACAAGAACTTTGTGTCCATGAGCTAAATGTTCGAACAAAACTAACTGGAACTGGTGGTACTCATAATATGAAAATACGTGGACATCACAGTGTTAAGTGATATGATTTTCTAAGTATCACAATGTAATAATACTTTCTGTTAAATCTGTATCCACACACACCATTTGTCACAGACACAGAGTTTTCAATGAGGTGGAATTATGAATGTTGAATAGTTAAGGCGTTGGAATTAGATGGCTGTAGCCTATTTGAAGGTACTATTCAGATATTACCTTGGAAGGACTGAGAAAAACCCATAACCTGGTTGAGATTTTAAGATGATACCTTCCAAAAATAAATTTAGGAAGTTATTTCTACATCTTAATTGGTGTAACATGTTTAGAATTTTCATATTAACTGCATCTGGCATTTTAAAAAAAAAGTGAAATTAATGGTCACTGCTGTGCTTAATGTACTGAAACATGTTTTATAAGGAACGTGGTATGAAAATGTCAGGACACAGTGAATTCAAATTTCGCTGCAAATGGTCAGTATTAGATCTACCTGTCTTCTGATAAAGTATTATACCTATTTTACAACTCATAATGACATTCCTTTGTTTCAGAAATATATATTTGACTTTTTGCAAAATCCAGATATCTGGTTGCTTGTGCTGACGAGAAGCAGTTCTGGACTAATACAACCCATGCACAACTTTTCGTCTGCTTCCATCCAGTCAAAGTCATGCTATTTCATAAGGAAAGCTGAAGAACCAATCACCAAAGACAATTTTCGTAATATCTTGACATTTGGAGATATTGCTGCTAAGCCTGTTGATCAGTTGGCTGTATTGGTGCAAGAGGTGTGATCGTTTTACTTCACTAATTACCAGTTCTTGAAGTGAGATAAATATGAGTGGAAATGTATACCTTAATTGAGTACATATATTTTACAGAAGTATTAATTAAAGTAAAGTTTGTCCCACTACGTGCCGTATAGGCCCTTGGGGTGAGTGGAGGTATAGCTCCTCTCTTTCTTGACCTCAGCACTAGATGAGTGATCGACATCACGCCCCGGCCGGCTTTATCCCCTAGAAAGGACCCCGGTACCCATCGTAGAGGAGGCTGGGTGGGCTCCAGAGCCAGTCTGGATGCAGAGGAAAAATCCTCTGCCCCTGTTGGGGATTGAACCCCGGTCATCCAGCCCGTAGCTAGTCACTATACTGACTGAGCTATCCCGGCTCATACAGAAGTATTAATTATAAACTACTAAACAGGGATGCTGGGTTGTCCAATCTGTTTTTATTGTTTCATTTCTACAGGTATTTGTGCCACTGTTGTCCAATCCAGAGAATCAACATAACTGGCCAAAAGTTGTGACAGATGATGTCATGAAACACGTATATGAACTGAAAAACATTGTATATGAAGTTTGTGGCAAGATAAATGGACAAACTCTACTTCCAATGCCTCTTGGTGTAGAAAGAGTGCATGAGGTTGAGCAAACTATTGTAGAAAGGTGAGTAAATAATTTCTGGATTTATTATTTAATGACATGGTGAGAGGTTCATTAATAATAATGAATTAATTAAAATATTAATTAATTAATAAAAAACAAGAAATACTGGAAACATGAGAAAGTCTGTGAACTCTCAGGGGTTCCCTGGCTTAGTTTAAGTCACAAATTTACTGAAGAAAAGTTTGTATTGTTGAAAGATTGCACCTGCACTGCTTTTATTGCAATTAACCCTGGAATTTGGCATTTTAACCAAATGGAATTCATGATCACTGTATTGTGCTTTTACAATGTATTACCACTTTGGCATTTATTGTTAATTTAAGGTCACCACATTGCCAACTTTCCTTACCATAATTCCCATTTTCAGACTTGTTATGAAGAATACTGAGATATTTACTTGTGAGTTAATTAGGAGAAAAGTTTACTGATCACGTTGTACTGAAGAACCTACTCCTCACAGAACTTGTGCATTGAGACTGAAATTTGAACCTCCCGTATATCTCTTCCATACTATATTTGTAATAAACTCATTTAATATGACAAACATTGCAGTGTACTCCATATTTGGGAGAATCAAATTTTAAATCTCAACTGGGATACTGGGTACTGGGAACAACCCGTTGTTCAAGTGCGTCAGCACTGCGGGTCCCAATTTTTCGTTGGCTTGATCTATGGACATTCGGTAGGACTCCTTGGACAAGGGATCGGCCCATCGCAAGGCCTCTACCTGTACACAGGACAGCACAATACAGAAAAACGCGAACAAACATCCATTACTTGAGTGGGATTCGAACCCACGGTCCTAGCGACCAAGCGGCACAAGGCCCACGCCTCAGACCACTGCGGACCCCTTAAATCTCAACACAGAGACTATCATGATATGTTTTCTGTAGTGTCTTTTAGTCCTTATTTGTTGTACTTGTACACGAGTACTTGCCTGGTATCGGCAAACAACTTGGTGTGTGGGTAACATCACAGTTCTAGGAGATTGATAGCAATTCTATTAGTAATTGAAAATGAGTTTGACTATGGACTCGGCTGCACAACTTCTGTCCAGAATGGAAACTTGAGATATATGTTTTCAGCGAGGCATGGCCAAGGCTTCTACCATGACAGTTACAAGCCACCCATAATGGTCTCTCACGTGCCAAATAATTTTCACATAATTATAAAACTCCAACTTAACTACAGATGGATGTGGATGGTTAGTGTCTTTCTTTACCCATGGTAAAATAGCCCACAGTACCGTTGCATTGGAGACTGGGTAGGCATCAGAGACAGTGTGTGCATGGTGGCACAGGGAAATGTTCCATATCCCACTGGATTTTAAGCCCAAGTCATCCGGCCTATAGAAAGTCACTTTTTACTGAACTGTCTCTATTCACTGGCACTTCTACCCTGAAGACAGAGGCGATAATTTATTCCAAATATTGATAACCATCTACAAGATGACACTGTGATATAATTCAGAAGACCACAATCATAAATCCTGATATTATTCTTAAATAGATAAAAAACTATTTTTTGTCACATTCTTTCAATTTCATAATTTATAAGCATTCTGTTATTCAGAGCTATATAAGGTACACACTTTATAATCTGTCTGTACATAAACAAATATCACTAAATAATTATGTGTGCAATGTCCTGAACTAATATGTATCATCAGAAGATTGTTTGAGAAGCTTTTTCATGATTGTAACATGGGTGTGGCATGTGACAGTAAGGGTGCAACTGTAGACCTGCATCTTAAAAGTGCTATTGAAGGAGTTATCATCAAGTGGGCAACGCAGATTGATGAAGTTCTTAAGGAGGACTCATCTAGCGCATTTGTCAGAGAAGCAAACCCAACTCCAAGATTTGGTATGTAGTCATTTTTTATGTTAAAACATTTTATATCTTGTACTTATTTTTAAGTAAAAGTCAAATACAGTAGAATTTAAGGTTTAACATTTTCATAGTGGTTTGCTGACACTTTTGTTTTGGTTTCCAGGGTTCTGAAGAGACAAAGTTCTATCTTCAGAATCCTATTAGGAAGTTGTATAGGTCTGTCCATCTGTTGCCTGATGTGTATGTGTTTTTATTTTTGTACACATGTATGTATGTGTGTGTGAATGAGTGTATGTTTGTGTGTGTATGTGTGTGCATATATGTTTAAAAAATAGGGGAGGGAGTTGTGGGAATTTTAACAGCACTGCTTTCCTTTTTGTTCAAAGAAATGTGCTGATATTTCTGTCTGAAAGTTGGACACATGTAAGAAATGGTGGAAAGCCTCTAAAGCCTGATAAGATTTTTAGTATATTTTACTTTTTGTTTTTTGTACATAAATGTTTTGACACACCATACTATTCTATAATATTAGAATAGAAAAAGTCCTATTTATATGTGTAGACATGTAATCGGAGAATGTTGTCTCTTTGCAGCACATTCTAAAACAGAATTTGTCAGTCATAATAACGCATAAATCAGGATTACAAAGAGCTGAGACTGTGAAACATGATGCTATGTACATTATAAGTTATACTTTAAAAATTCAGTACGCAGTGTTTGAAAACTATAAAAAGACAGATTGTGTAATTTTTCAAACTTATCATAGTAAATATGCCAACAATGTATGTAGTTTAACATAGTTTTTCATGTATTTATAATAGAAATTGACTTTTGGAACAATCGTCTCAAAAACCTGGAATGTATCTATGACCAGCTTTGTGATCTGAGGGTTAAGAGGATGGCCTCCATTTTAAAACTGACAGACAGTGTCTACTTCTCTTGCTTTAAGTTACAGTTCCATAACATTGTGGCAGGTGAGTATAGAATAGTTAAACATAATGTCTGACTAAATGCAACATTAGAAGCTCTTTGTATTTTCCTAGTTTGTGGATTAATTTGTCCTTATGAGAAATGAGGTTTTTTTTAATAAAGTTTAGATTCCAGTTGTCCCTTCTCATAAGGTTTCCAACAAAAATTTGGTAGTTTCTTTCTGGATGTTCCATAGATGTCATTCTGCTTGATTTATTCAAAATAACAATTAGATGAAGAGTAGAAATTGTGAAGCTCCTCACTATATACAAAAGGAACACTTCCTCAAGATGGAATGTAGTACTCTTCAAAGTGTTTGAATTATCACCTATCCTCAAATATTTTAGTCAAATATAAGGACAGTTCCTTGAAACAGGCCACAATTGTTTCCTCCCCAAACTTTGAGTTCACTATGCATAGTCATCTCATCATCTCATTCAGTAATAAATAACATACGCAGTTTATTCAGTGCCCTTTGACCAAACATTCATGAGAATTAATTTTTTATGTTTTATCATATGTCATCCTCAGAGTAAAACCTTTTGATTAACATTTCAGCTGTAACAGAAGCACGTGATATCACTTTATACCTGAAGCCTCTTGTAAAACACTTTGAAGTTCTGGAGAACACAGACTTCAGAAATGTGCAGCCACTGTTGCGTCCATTGATTCATTGTGTGGCTCTTGTGTGGGCCAATAGTCGCTATTACCGCACTTCTGCTAAGATCATTACACTTGTGAGAGAGATTGCAAATCTACTCATTCAAGAGGTATGAGATGAATTTTTATATTAGTTGCAGGTAATATTCTGAAAAGATCTCAAAGCCTGTTACTTTTGTTTTGCAGGAACTGTAAATAGTTTTACAACTTGTAGGTTTTTTTAAATAACTGTTGCATCAATGTTAGACCCAGTCTGGCATTCTTCATAATTCTTTTCAACTGTGTCAAACCAATTTTAAATGATACCTACCTGTGAGTGAGATGTAACATTTTACATGACACAGTTATATTTTCTTACAGGCTACCAAATTTCTGGACCCAGGGTCTCTTTTCCAAGGAGAAGTGGATGAAACTCGAGAGCATGTTGAAAATTGTATTACAGAACTGATGTCTTTCAGGTAATATAATTTGACATACCTTCTTTTCTTATGGATAGGGCAACTTAGTGGCTGTATTGGCTTCATCTTTCTTAGTTCTGTATGTCATATGATCAGAAAGAACACTATATTATGGCCTTTCATATTCAGAATGTTACATCACTGGAGACAAATGTGTTATATAATAACTAAATCTCTTAACACAATTCTACCAGAAATCATAGTGTTATGATATATGTAGCCATGTCTCACTGCCTGAAGCTAGCATGTTTTAATTCAGTGTGACCATTAGCTGTGTGATCTAGATACCATGGTAATCCCTGTGCTTTTCATATTCACCAGCAGAAGGCATTTCACTGCCAGAAATTTAATTCCAAATTTGTGTAGGTATTGCATATCACATTGCTAGACAATTTGATGTTTGATACCTTTGTGTTAGTTTCTGATTTGATTGGTTTGTAAATTTTGAGTTTTGTAAAAAGTTGTTGGGCTATAACCTATGTAATTTATACCAATTACAGACACATCATTTATTAAGGCTTTTGATTAAGGTGTGTCATTAAACAAATGTGTATTGTTAGACATTTTAGTTTGTCTGTTGATTTAAAATTGTAACAGGTGTTAAACCCTGTGACATTTTGGAAGTTAGTTCTGCTTCCTTCATCTAGTAAAACCATACAACTTATTCAGTTGAGTTCATTGGAAAGAGCTGATTTCAGTCCCTGAAAACAGATGAATAAAAATGTTCAAGAACACACAACACTTTACATTTTTCATTACTTTAATGTTATGATGGTATTCTTGTTTAGAGTAAAAATTCTCTAAATATTTTTTCTTTTTTGCAATTTTTTCATCTTACATTTATCTTTCTGTCTTTTGCATAATACCTGCAGCTGGAAATACATTGTTTACAAAACCTATTCAATAGTAAAATATTACATTATGTAGAGTCTCTTTCTGTGTGTTTAATTGAATATGAATCACACTGAAAAATGTTTCAAACAGAAGTTAGACCTAAATATTTAAATTGACTTACCATGATTTTAGCAGTGATTATGTGAACATTCCTCTTCCTCCTGTATTCTCCCAGTTCAAAATTTATAATCGTCCTACTCAGAGATTTTTTTAATTCTAAATTTGAAGATTCAGACACAGGAAAGGAAAACTGAATTTTATTATCAAGGTTGAAGAAATGGTGGTATGGGGCAGATGCACTCACCCTGCCCGCCTTCCATTTTCTGATCATATTTATGTAAACCCAGCATTATACGTACAATCTCTGTAGTTGATGCAGCATTATATAATAGCTAGATAACTTCCAACTTGCTTTGTGTTTTGTAGGACAATCTTTGAGGAATATCGAGCCAACTTACACATATTCTTTCCAAAAGGTGTGGAACCTGTGCTGTGGACATTTCACCCAAGAGTGGTGTTTGAGCGAATGATCCAGTATGTTGAAAGGCTCAAAATTATAGAGGTACGTATAAGAGTGAAATATTGTATTGATCCTTCAGCCTAAGATACAGCTTAATACATGCCACAGTTATACACTATTTATAGCAAAGTATTATGAATAATACAGAATTTCATACATTTTTCAGAGCAACATTATTACAGAGTGAATTAATGATAGGTATTGTTTTTCATAGGCCAATAAATATTTTATTTTGGCCTCATATGAAGATTTCCTTTATATTTTGTGTGTATGTGTATACTGATTCCTGTGTATCAATTTTAGTATAGTTTTTTATTTTAAAATCAAGATTGTTTATGTCTTTATATTTGTGTCACACATTTGAATGCATTCTTTTACATCATATCCTTAGTTGTTTTTTTGTTGTTTTTTTAGTTTTCATGTAGTGTTTAAGAGGTTTAAGATGATGTGGCTAATTCCTACATCATATTTCTCCTTCATGGCCTCTGCTTACCTCATATGTACTGAAGGAGTCCATTACTGAGGTGTGAACACCTGTATTGCAAACTCAGGATTGTATTTAAGAATGATGTCCAATGGAAGGGATTTACAGCATGTCATGTTCTTTTTACCATTATCTTGTCATAGTATCCTTTACATTCACACAAAAGTTTTAAACCAGTGTGAGAGCGAAGGGAAAAGATTCACAACAGATCCAATCAGGTTTTGCTTCTGAGACCTTCAGCCAAAAGTCCAATAATTTTCCCATTATCTGTTATGTATTATGTTGTTGCACAACTCTTAGATCATACTAGCTTGCCTTGTAGGTGTTATCACTGTTTTCAGTGGAATCCATAACCTCCCTGAAAATAAAGGTGGTATGTTTATCTACACCACATCATAATCCAGGAATCCTCAATCGGCATTGACACTACTATAAGAACTTCAATTTACAACTGGATCATACTACCTACTAGCAGTTATCCCGTAGTGAAAAGTGACATCAGAATTAAATTTTCTCAAAAAGTAGTTTCTGTAATCTCACTGAGAATGTTACACAAGGGACAAAATGATGAAGTTATTTTCACTCTACAATGAGTCCACCTTCTTTTCACAGCTATAGACAGATAATGTTTTGTCTAATTAGATCTTTGGTATGTAAGAATAATGCTACATTTTTCAGAGGTTTCCAGGCTTAGTTATGGTTATAAATCTTGTTTCAGAATTTCTTTGCTACATCAATGGAATTTCTTAAATTGGAGAAAGTTGAAATTGGTGGGTTGAAAGGACGATTACTGAGTACGAAGGTTGCTGGAGTGTTCAGTCAGTTCTATGAAGCATTTACAGTATTTGGAGGCATTACATATGATCCTCTTGACCCAGAAGATGAGAGTTTTGTGTATGATTATACTGTGTTTATGGAGAAGATAGATGATATGGATCACAAACTTGCAGCTATCTTCTGCCAGGCATTTGATGATTGCTTCAATTTAGAGAGTATATACAAAGTGAGTTATTTTTTTATGACTACAGTATTGCAGTATTGAATACTGACGTTGTTAGTCTAGGTTTCAATTTTAGATGGTGATTGTACAATTATTTGATATGTTACTCATTCCTCAAAAATATTAGCGACCACTTGCAAGACTGTACAGCAACATGCCTCAGAGACCACATATTCTGTTTTGTGTGGTTTTAATGTAGAGCTTTAAAGAATATGCAATGTATATGAAACAAATTTCTTTGTAGATTGTGAAACAATGTGATGGTCATTTGAAATTAGGATTTATTTTTCAGATTATGGAGCTAGATTGAAATTTTGTCTGGAAACATTTTTATGTGTTAATAATTACAAACATGATGATAATGATGATGATAAGGAAGTTTGATTTTATGCTTACAAAATTTAACAGTAGGATCTGTACTCGTGGAAATTATGATGGTTGTTGTTAGCCTTACCATGTACCAGATTGAATCATTTGAAGCTGTTATAGATTCTTCTCAGAACTTATTATTTTGTGATTTTATAGAAGCAATTTTTTTTATTTCATTAGTAAACAACGTACAAAATGTTTTATGTGCAGATGGTGTAATACATGCAAGGCCAGTCATTACCTACACAAGAGCACTGATTTCAGTGTTTGGCTAAGAAATACTCATGGTGCCACTGTTTCCATTTCTCACTACATAAAAATTTACCTTGATTTGCAACATACATTGCTATCAGAATAGATATAGAAATGTATGTAATAAATATTAAATAGTAAATATTTCCAAATTTAAGCACTGTATTATAGTGACATAAATATTTGTCAATTTCAAATTTTTGGACTTTTTCAATCACCATTATGCTTCCTCAAACCACTACATTTTTGGAGATGGCTCTTCCCCCATCTTCAGGTGAACCTACACAGTTGGGCCTAATCTTGATCTGTGGACACTGGAACCAATCAGCCACCAACTAAAAAGCTAACTAAGGGTGGATTCCTCCGCAAGCTCAAGACATTGTCTCTTGCTAGGTAACACCATTCCTGTGTACGAAATGCATTGCTGGAAATGGTAAACAGAAACTTCTCAAGTAGTCCTTGTTTTAAGTCCTGTGTATGTTCCTTAATATGAACTTCCAACAGTTTGCCTCTTTCTCCTATATAACTTCATCCACATTCACAGGGAATGTTGTAAATACATTGTTTAATCTGTCATGTCTTGATATTTGGTTTGGTCCTTACAAATACGTTACATAGGGTATGTTTTGTTTTGAAAACAGTCTTAATAGTATATTATAAGAGCCATCTCCTGAAACATAGTGGTTTGAGGAAGCACAATGGCAAAATTAAAGAAGTCCAGAAATTTGAAATTGGTAATTCAACACCATCACCAGTAACATTTAGAGATGAATCATAAATATTGGGCTTTATTGTAGTATATAGAATCATAGTATGTTAGTAAATAATTCATTCAGTGGCAGATTCTGATCTATAAGTCAGGTCATGCAGATTTCAGTCTACACAACCTGGCATTACTAATAGAACCATATTCTCTCTCTTATTTTCATGGTGGCACATAAACTAAAGCATGGTATGGAGACATTAGTTGAATGATGAATCAACCTGATTTTGTGGCCTGGTGTATACATAGCTAAGAAATACAGTGGTATGCAAGCTACACAATGCAAGTGAAACATCAGAGCTATTGTTACTCTTGTTTTAGTCTAGTGGTATTGCAGTGAACTATTGCCCATGCTATAGCATTTTCCACTAAATTATGTATTTACTATTTATGAAAATACAGAAATTGATATTAATACTCTTTTTTTATTTTTGATAGTTGATTTATGTTGGAAGTTCACTGTTGGAACGACCTATCATAAAAGCGCAAGTTACTCCAAAATATAGGGTTCTCATCACAATGCTGGGTGAGGAACTGGATGTGATCAAGGTAATATTTTTATTTAACTTTTCCCATGTTATATAATTCCAACTATCCATTTTTCTTTTGTGTCATAGTTAGAAGAAACTTATCTTGAATCCTTGTGTTTGCTTATGAGTAAAACTTTCTTCCAATCAAAAATATTTGATGTAATTTCAGTGAATTCTGAAATTAGTCGAGTCAGAAAAGTCTGGACATTTTCCTGTTTTAGCATGTTAAGAGCCAAACTGGTGTAATTATGTTTCACATTTTAGAAGAGAAGCTACCTTGGAAGCAAGTAGTTTTAATAGAAATTTACATGTTATTCATGTTTTACTTATTTCATATTTTGTAATAAAACCCTTTAGTTATATATTAATATGTAACTTTGCAGAACACACTTGATGAACAAGTGGAATTTTACAGTGAGAAAGGTTACATGATTATTGATAAGTACTTCCCTCCAACGGCTGGCGCACTGCTTTACATCAACAAACTGAGGCAGAGGATTATGATTCCTACTGAAATTGTTAAGGAGCTAGAACTTGAGTAAGTACATATTTCTGTCACTTAGTAAAAAGGTTTTGAATCAGTACAAATTATGTATGACATGAATCCTTCTTACTGAGTACCAAAAGTTTATCCCACGAGTCTAACTTCTATAAGAATTATAAAGTGAAGCTGAAGTTGATGAAAGACTCTCGGGTTACAAGCTGCGGCAGGTGGCTGAATGGTGAATAAGCCATATCTTCTGCCGACGTATAGAGAACATTCTCTGCTCTCATCCTCAGGGCTGCTGCATAATAAATCTGATCCCTTGTAGCATATAAATAAATATGTAAGCTTATCTTTCTTAAAGGCAGGCTAATAAGTTCTGCTGCTTTGTAGAGTTCTCTAACATCTGCATTAATTCATTAGCATTATACAGAGTCCAGACTTCCAACATCTACTGGAAAAGTATAATGAGATTAGAGGCTATTTGGATGAACTGGAATATAAAATTTTCTCTAAATGGGCAGCACAAGTTCCAGAACAGTGTTCCATAAATCTGGAAAAGCCTCTTATATTACAAGCAGAAGAAACTCTGGGACTGAGCCTCAACTTTGATGACAATGTAAGATTTTTGTATATATATAAGGTTTCAAAGTGTTTGAGTATGCAGGTTGGTTCAAGGTTGAAGCACCCATTTTGCATTCAAGAGACTCTTGGACTGGATTACAGCCGAGATGTTAGCTATCAAAGAATCATATGACTGCTTTATCCCCTAACCTGTAGAGTAGAGTAGAGTAGAGTTAAGTTAACAATATACCTTATTATCTCATTTGATGTTAAAGAATCCAGTTAGTACATTATTGTTAAATAACATACAAAGTAACCTCAGAGTGGTTGGAAATTGTTGTTCAAATGCCATTCATAGTATAGTACTGATGGCAGGATGATTTATATGGGGTAGATTATAGTTATGTAGTTTTATATATTGTTGTAAGTGGTTCGAGATAATGGATTTTTGAAGTTTGCTGTTTTGTTGTTGTTGTTTTTTTGGGTTGCTGTACCATGTAGTACTATTTACTGTTTAGCTTGTGGCAATTTTACGAGAGGTCCGATACTTGAAGATGATGGACAAGGAAGGAATCCCCAGTGATGCTCTGACACTGTTTGATCATGTTGAAACCCTTCACCAATGGATTAGCAATTTGAACCTTGCTATCAAGTGGTAAGATTATCTGATCCAGCATGCTACAGTGCAACAATGGAACCTCTACTTTGTGTGTCTTAAGTTAAATGTTCAATTTAATTTTAGTTCCAGTTTAAATTATCCCAGATCAATAACCTTAGTGTTAAGCTCTATCCATGTAAGATTTTCTTCAGTTTAATTTTGAAATCCACTGCCCCTGAATAAACCTAAAATCAACATTGGTCTGTATATCTGTATCTAATTTGAAATCAGGTTTAATTAGATGTAAATGAACTAATTTGGTTTGTAGCATCTTGAACTTATCAGACAGAACTGAAACAGACTGAATTAGTTGGTATTTCATCTTCTCCCATTGCTTGTCCATGATTATTTTTCCTAATTGTCTTTCCCACAGCTTGCATGCTCATTTCTTTATCCTCTTTCATTTCAATTTTTGTTCACTTGTGCTTATCTGCATTATTAACTTTTTAAAATGACCATTCCATCTATATATATCCTTTTTCCACCTTTACTATTCTTGGTCATTTAAGATTTTTAATATTTCTTCTGTCTTATTTTATGTACTCGTATATACATGTATTTTATATTTGTACACATAAAATGGAGTGATGCATGTGTGTAGTGTTTCCTGCTTTCTACATACTCAATGCATGTTTAGCTTAAGCCTGTTATTTTCTTGTAGGTACAACAGTATCCGTCAAAACAGTTTGCCTGTGGAGTATGCACTTATTGTACATGAAATTGAACAAATTGACAGTCTCATCATTGAAGTTATTGAGAACCTCAACTGGAACTCAGAAAGTGAGTGGTTTCATCCACATTAGTTTACAAACACTTTTACATTTAGAATTGCTTATATTTGTGGTTTCTCAGTAAATTTTCATAATTGTTTTTATTCAAATTTATTTTTAAATTTGACTTTTATAAACTTTTATGAGTTACTTTTAAACAATAAATATTATTATATCTGAACCAAAAAATATGATAATTATTATTTCTTAGATTAGTAGTTTTTAATATATTTCTGTATTGTGCTGCAGATGTGTGGTCATATGTGCAGAAAATTCGAATTATAATAGAGGACCTATATAACAGAGTATCAAAGGCTCACCAGAATGTGAACAGAATTTGTAGTCTGATTAATACATGGAGCCTTGCACCTCTCTTTGAACGTAAGGACAGCAAGAAGGACAGCTTGATATATTTAGATGACCATGATGAACGTGTCCTTCGAAGGTAGGTTTGGTTTGCAAATGGCAACACTCCTGTTTGTTGGCTGAAGAGTGTGCAGAGGTATACCACAATTTAAGTCATTTTTCCTGAATCACACTGCAAAATGTAAAAATGTGTGAACTGTAGACTTTTTCATAGATTTAACATTATAAATGTGGGTTATGTTCTTAAGCAGATATTTTTCAATAGTGAAATTTGTGGTTATCTATGTGAAATAATACTGCAGTGTTATAAAAAGGTCCTTTAATGATACAAACTTGGCTTCAAATTAAATTTTATTTTGCTGCTGATGTATACAAGGACACAAGCTTCCACCTTGAGAATGACACAGCATAGGATATCACACCTAAATTAAGAAGGAAAAAAGAAGAAATTAAAGTGTGTTAAATAATCAATATAAAATTTATAACTCTGTATATTTAATAATTTTTGTTCAGCAGAATTTTTCTTCTGAGGCTATCTGATATGTGATCACTTTTAAATGTTATTCCCAAAGTTAGAGTAATTTGCTATGCCTGATCTATTTTACATGTGGTTTAATGATGCTGTCAGCAACTCAGGATATGTAGTGTTGGATGATAGGATGATTAATAAATACTGAACTGTAAAGGACATTGGTCTAATTTAATTAACTATCTTAATATTGTCCTGGAGGAACTGAGGAAAACTACAAAATATCTGTCACTATAGCCAGCCTCCTGAGAGAGATTTGAACTTGGGATCTCCCATATATGACAGAATTACTTGGTTATGATGTTTGGTCCCTGATCTAGTGAATAATAAAGTGAAGTATGTAAAGAGCAAACACTTGCTAAGGATTGAGAGTGACATGATTCAGTCATTTTTTTCTTCCACATGCAAATGTCACAATTGTTCATGCATAATTTTAATTTTTTATTTTACCCTCTTTTCAGCCTTCATAGAATACCTCACTAATTTATGTCTTCTTCTGCAGATACAAGGAAATAAGAAATGTAGGTAAACAGATCCATCAGCTGATGAATGAGAATTATAGATTGTTCTTTAACATTAAATCACGTGAGATAGAGCTGGAGGAAGAAGTTCATGATGAGAAAAAAATATTTGAAGGAGAGAAAAATGAATTTGAATTGCATGAGAAGGAGCCATTGGGAGAAACTGAAACTGATGACGAAAAGATAGAAGTAGAAAATATGCCATCTATAGACAAGACAGAAAAACACATTGGTGCTGAAAGTGAATTAGTTACAGAAATTCTATTGGAATCTCACAGTGCTCCTTTCACTGTTCCTGTTACTTCAACAAGTCATGCATCTATTCCAAGAATTGCTCAACACATGTTTCAAATTGAAGCCAGACCTGATGATGAAGCAGAATCAGGACTTGCTTTGTTTCTTCAGTCATTAAGACAAACTGGAGAAACAAAGGGCGGGGGTAAGGTGGAAATCAAATTTGGTGATGAAATTCAATCAGTGGTAGGTACATACTGTTCAAAGGTTGTGATAGTGGTTTAGCATAGCGATGGAGTATTTTTTTTAAACATTACTCATTGTCTGGATAAGATGAAAGACATATCAAAGATTGCTTTAGAAGAAAGGGATGCATAGTATGTGGTATAAAACTGATCCTAGGCTGAGTGATAATGACCATCATTATTCAATTTGTCCTACAAAGTAGACATCTTTTCCTTCTGCCTGAAAATGGAGACAGCATCATTCTGCCATATTTCATTCATTATTACATTCATTGTCATGCATATTATTGAAGTTATGCCTGTCTTCTGTTTGTCTGTGCATTTTATTTCCAAAACTGCTTGACAGATTTCAATTAAATTTGGTGTACAAGGTCTGCACAAAAGGTTGTCAAGGGAATTTAGTTTTGTTTTCTAACAAAAGTGGCTCTTCTTACAAAATAATTCATTCATGTCATAAAATGTAGATCTGATTAATTCATACATTTTTTATTTGAGGTAAGTATCTGTACATTGTGTTTTTAACAACACACAAGGAAGAATAACATCTGACAATGTTTTGTGAAATCTATGATGTGATTAACTTTGCAACAACGGGTTTGTATCTGCGGTATATGTACACAAACGCCAAAGACATGAAAAATCATATTTTTAAGTACATATTTCAAGTTGAGTTACATCTGTTCACCTTGCATATCAGCATCAGTTGTTTCAACCTGTAGATCTCATACTGTTAAAAAGAGCTATTTATGACACCTAGCTCATGTGCCGAAGTTTCTGTCAGTGGGTCGCCAACTTTTAGAGAAGCGAGTCACTTGGCCACAAAAGTTAGATGACTAATCCAGTTAAGGGACAGTGTCAAAGAAAACTCTTCTGCCTTTTAACTTAACATTTGTCTGTTGTTCATATATTCTCATAATTTGTCATAACTGATGTACTTCAACATTTTACTTCAAATTTTTCAAAATTAAATGCCAAATACAGAAAATGTAATTAATATGTAATCTGTAATGTTAGAATTTTAACTTGTTAAAGCCAATAATTTTGTTTATTAATGGAGTTAAATATGCTAGAACAAAAATACCAGACATTAACATTTTGTATGATGATATCAAATGGGAGATCTGAAATTTTTGCAACATTAAGAATGTAGATTGTGATCATCTAAGTTGTGATGCTATTCATTCTTGTAGGTGGTTACCAGCATTTAGGAGAAACATACCACCTTCGTCTTCAGGGAGGTGATATGTTCCTCTGAAATGTTGATCACCTACAAGGCAATGTCATCACAATCCACATCAATATGGAGTTTCTGCAATCAATTTCAGAGTTTTTAAATATTTAGAAAGTGGCTGCCATATTGAAATCATATGAAAATCATTTATTTTATTTACACAGGCTTCATGAAAATGCTACGGGAAGTATAATTTTATTGTTCCCAGTTCTTACATCTTTGCCTATATGTTCATATTTGTTTTCTTACAGTACCCACAATTGAATCCAGAAATGATAATTAAATGGAAAAATTATGAGGAGTATGTAGATGATATTGTGTCTAATGGGCTCTTCAATGCAATTGCATGCAGGTGAGTACATGCCAAGGCACAATTCTCATAATGTGATGTATAACATTAAATGATCCAGCAGTATGTATTCTTGGGTTGTGGGACATCTGCCTATTTGGATGCCTTCAGCTATTTTGATGGCTATGAAATGTGACTGGATGAAAGTTTGTTTGTAGGACAACAGATCTCGTTTACCTGTACAGAAGTTCTATGACTATTTTGAAAAATTAATTTTGAAAATTTGGAATTCATTCATCTCGGCCAACAGCGAGGGAAGACCGTGCAAGAAATGAAGGCGCTGGCAGTCGACCGGAGTGGTTGGAAGGCATTTCTGCAGCCTGCTCTGATGCCATGAGGCATAAGGAGAAGAGAAAGAAGAAGAAGGAATTAATTCATTATGTGTCATATTAAGTTAATTTCTGTCAAGTCATAAGATAATTTTCTGAAGTGGCCAAAAATTACTTTGTATATGTCTGTTCATAAATTAAACCTATTTGTCATGTTGGCAGCTTATCTGTGTTCATGGATGAAATGGAACCAGGACATGCAAGCTCTCCACTATTTGAGGTGGCACTACAACTGCAAGAACCAGATATTTTATTTGTGCCATCTATGAATATTTTTGATTCAAAAGGTTTCTATCAACTAGTAGACAGCCTCCTTACTGACATCATGCAGATGTCAGTTCTTGTTCAGCGGGTTGCAAGACACTTCTCACAGGCAAATTATGAGGTAATCATGATGTTTTATCAAATGTTAGAATCTCTAGATACATGATTTCTACTTCAGGGAATGTGTTACATGTTTAACTTCCACATTGGAGTAAAATCCATCTTCCGTCCTCAAAACCATTGGAGATGGAGTGTTTACTGTAGACTTTGGCATTAGTTTTAGTGGTATTGAAGCTCTCTGCATTCTGCTACCAGACACTTAGTTAGTGAATACTTGTACAGAATGACTCAAAAAGATTTGTACACATTATAATATTAACCTTACTATTGATCTTTATGTGATGTATTTATGAAGGCATGGACAGTGGTTGGTTTGAACACCTACACTAGATCTTATAATTCACTAAGTACCATTGTTGATGTATATAATGGTTTAGTTTATTAAAATGTATATTTCATTCACTGAATGTCTGTATATCTTTTTGGAACATTCTGTAAATGATGAATGGAATGAGTGCAAAAATTATGTATCTTACAGAAGGATATGAAGAATAATAGTGACCTCAGGGATATGATAACCGAGATTTTGAGTTGCATCCGCCAAACAATGACTTCGGTAAGTTATTTTGGAGCTGCATTATTTTATGCAGTCTCATACAAAGGCACATACATTATTTCAGTTTTATTCTACAAGGATCTAATAAAAGCAAGGGGATGTTCTCCAGTTTGGAGAACACTTACTTAAAAAATTAACATTTTTCAGTTTTTCATGCCTCATTGACATCTACACTTATTTATTGCTTGTAAAACTATTGTTTTGAGTATAAAGCCATTGTTACAAAGCTTATCACATTACAAATAACACACTGCCTAGAGTTATAAATTAATTTTTTCCTTGTATTATGTGTAATATTCTATATGTATGAGCTTTCTTTGGGAGGGGAGAAAGTAATAAAGTTCAGTTGCAAGTTCATGTAAAATACCAAGTGTTGTATTGGCTGATAGGTACTAAAATAAAGCAACTTTTAATGTGGACATCTAATACCAAATGTAGTTTAAATACATTAGGTAGTTTCTGAGATACACTGTTAAATTCTTGTAGGAAATTTTGTGTCATGCAGGCAGTGGATTACAGCAAAATCTTTGACCAACATTCATATCTGTGGCTCGAAGATAATACTGTCTTCTTGAAGCAGTTCTTGCTATATGGCCACAAGCTAACCCCTCAGGAACTAGAGATTATGAAAGCTGCCACAGCAAATAAAGAATTGCCTGGACTGAAGGATACTCCACCAACCACAAAACAGTTCAAAGAACAGGTAATAATATCAACAGCTTTAGGTGTAATGCACATATTCGAATTTGCTGGGAATTAATATAAGTTTATAGAATGCTTATTTGTCTTAATAATCTTAATATCGTTTCTCATTTGCTTTACTACAACTTGCAATGATACAAGTCATATAAAAGATAGAGTTCTTTTTTCTGAGGAACCCAATTAGTAATCTTTCTCTCCAGCTGCTGATTCTCCTATATTCTGTATTGATATTGTACCATCAGATAAACTGAACATCATAAATGAGCAATTAACACTCCTGCTTTATGAATTTTGAAGATTTATGGTTTTCTTCAGTCTCTCCAGGTAAGTGCTAGTTAGTACCTTAAATTAGGCATAACATTTTCCTTCCATGCCCTTCCCAATTCATTATTCAATAATCATTTTATAATTTGACACTGTATAGTCTGAACTGCTACATCATTAAATAAACTGTCTGATCTGATGCAGATTAGTTCTTTCTAATTCTTTGACATCAGCTTGGCAGCTATGGTCAACATTGTTATCCAATATAGGGTCTTTGAATGTCATTAAAAAATGTGAACCTTTTTTTAAGTCTATTTTTAGGTAAATAGAAAATATCGTAATGGCTGAAATACTTCAGCTTTTACTAATGAACTCATTGGTGAGTGCTTAAGAAGCTTATGTTTTAATTTCAGATTGACCATTATGACAGTCTGTATGCAGAGCTTGAGAAAATGGAAAATGAAAAAGTGTTTGACACCTGGTTCAAAGTTAATGTCCGTCCATTCAAACAAGCTCTACTTAACACTGTCTGCAAATGGGGGAACCTCTTTAAAAAGCATCTTGTAAATCATGTTATTAACAGGTATGAGAGAATTATGTTGCATGTAATAATGTTTTGTAAAAGCAATTTGCTCAAGGAAACACTTGGATTTGTTCACTTAAGGTTTTCAATATTGTCTTACTACTTCACGGTATCCTGTGACCAGTTTGATACAGAATGGAAGGGAAGGAAGATAATGAATTCTGTTGTCAGCAATGAAAGGAGAAAATATAGATCTGCTGGGAAACATAAACTGTTAATTACCATGAGATTTATTGTTGTAAAATTACACAGGACTTTGAACACTAGATTTTTAACTGGCCTGCCGCCTAAGTTTGGTTACTCAATATTGGTTTCTAGTTTTACTTGGTCTTGGTGGCAAATAAAACCAATGTTTTTATGCTTGCTAGTATTACTACACTAGTGCATCCAAAATTCTGCAGTCTTTATAAAGTAATATGACTGTACAAACATGTTACTCCATATTGTGTCTGTGATATCAGCTTTTAGTTTATACATCATTGTTATTACTCTGAACCTTGATTGTGGGTTGTTAAAATTTTGTACAATTTGAGGTTTCAGCAGTGAGTTTGAAGATGGCTATCTTCTGGGTTGTTATATCATTTAGTCTGGTAGAAGTTTGCTGACGTTTCAGAGGTCCCTTCTGCCTCCAGGATTAGAGCGATGAGTCTGATGATGGAGGCAGCAAGGACCTCTGAAACGTTGGTAAACTTCTACCAGACTACATGGCAGAACCCAGAAGACAGCCATATGTTTACATTTTGTTTAATTTATATTTGTTAAAACAGTCTTCAAGAACTGGAGGATTTCATCACAGAAGCAGACAAGAGTTTGTTGACACCAGTACAAGAAGGTGACTATAGAGGCTTACTCAGAGTAATGGGATTTTTGTATCATGTCCGTGAACGTCAGGTCACTACTGATGAAATGTTTGAGCTAGTCAAAGAGATAATGGACATGGTGAAAGCATATGATGTTGAATTCTCAGAGGAAATTTATTTGAAGTTGGAGGTAATTTGTTTTATTACTATGTGTTAAGCTCAGTAATATAGTAAATCATCAAAATCTGTAATTTTATTCTGGTAGACATATTTAAGCATCACTGTGTCATCTTCTTTGACAATGTCATTTCCTGCATACCCTAAAAACTAAATCTCTGAGGTGTTATCAACCTATTTTTGGTGATGGGCAACTGTGAGAAGTTTATTAGTGTACCAAACACCTAACCAACTGGTTAGTACTCCTGCTTCATATTTGTGAAGTCACAGATTCAAACCTCATCCATGACACAGGCAATCTTAATCAGATTTTCATGGTTTTTACCGGCCTCTTCAGGCAAATTATAGATAGTACCACTCCCTTCCATTCCTTTCAAAGTCATTGTTTATTGAGCACCCTATCATTCAACACAATATAGTCTGAGCTACTGATAGCATTATTAAAACCATAAGTAAGTAAATAGAGAAGCAAACAATTTGTGATGATTACCACATGTCTTGCAAAAAATAGATTTGAATTAGAATAATTAGGAAGCAAGTATCTTTTGTTCTTACATCAAGGTATTATCCAGAGCACTCTTTTGGCCCATTCTGTCTCACAGAAAATATTTAATGTATAATAGAGTTAAGTAATGTTCTTAAAATATGTCACTTATAAATATTTTGAAATTCTTTTGGACAACCAAAGGCTCTTCTGAGGGTGCCAAAGTGTCTGTGAGTATATGGTTAGTGATATTTGCTGTAGCTTGTCTGTACAAAATCTGACACTTGGTCTCTTGCTAATTCAGTTTTTAAAGTACAGTAAAGTGCTGATTGTTATGCATTTCCTATTATATACATTTTAATTTTATGTGACAATTTGCAGAAACACAACCCCTGTACATAGTGAGAGTTGCCTGTACAGAGTTGCTTGTGGTCATTATAGGAGTTACCTGAGAAATGGACAAAAACAAAGAAAATTGCTGTCACTGTCAAGCAGAATGTTGCACCACTTATGGCTGCAGAAGCAACGCTCATCCGCAAGAGGATCACATTCTTTGAATTTCGTCAGACACAGTACCGTGAGACATTCCGCAAGTCACCTCTATTTAAGTAAGTCCTTTTATTCTTTTATAGTAACACTGTATAAAACTTTAATCTCACCTGTCTTTTTTGTAAAGTAAATATTTTGCCATGAAACACAGGAACTAATACTGAAATTATAGTATCTGAAAGTAACGTGATGATGAGAATGTTGTTTAGACAAAGCTGCTTTATTTCTTAAGCTATATTTGTACTTTTATTAAAGATTTAATTGTTGTTCATAATGTAATGTACATTTAAATAACAGAACGTTGTAAAGGTAATATTTGTAATTGGCAGTAGGTTCAGTAAATATCATTCTTTTTAAGAGCATATATATTAGTAGGTTGGGTAAGTTGTTTATTGTCATTCAATGATACTGATCCTTGTTCAGATGTGTTTTTTTATCATCCACATCTCCAGTACGCCATGATTTTATGTGAGGAAGGAATTTAAACCGAAAATAATTAATAGTGAAATAAGAGAAGAAAAAAAGAAGAAATGCGCACAGTGAAGAGGATCATAAATTTTTGTCTTCATCACATATTATTAATGTGATAAAGTGAAGGAGGATGAGATGAGTGAGTCATGTAAGAAGCATGGAGGAACTGAGAATTACATACAGAATTTTAGTTTGTAAACCCCAATTGAACAGACCAATTGGAAAGTGTAAATATCATGTCAATGAGGGATGCAAAATTGTAAAGCATATATTTGGAGAATGCACCTTTCCACTCTCATTTTGAACTGAGATTAAAATTTATCACACATTCTTTGATATTTAAAGAAGTCACATTTCTTCAGACATAAATATTATTGTAATGGTATTGACTAAATCTTCATTATGTACAATGCAGGTTTGATTGCCCAGGTGCATATGAAACATTGGATGAAACTAATAATGCCATCATAGCCCTAGAAGCAGAAATGACAACGCTTGCTGAACAAGCATCACTGTTTGATGTAAATATTCCTGACTTCAAACAGCTCAAGATGTGTTACAAGGAAATTAAAATGCTTAAGGTTTGAAACAGACTATATTACCAGCTTATGAATTAAACATCAATACAACTAATGAGACAAAACAATGACTTTTGTAAGCTCATTTTAATTAACATTGTGCTCTACAACATTTGAACATACACATTATTAAAATATGACCTCCTTCTTTGCAGCACAAACCCATACCATACCAGTGCTTGTCATTGACACTCTCAGTATTGCAAATATAACCAGTGAGAATGTTGTGCTGTTGATTTATTTGGAAGCAGATAATTCAAAACTATTTACGTATACACATTCTGGTAGTTTACTTAAAGTAATGTTTAGCAATGAATACAAAGCATGAGATTTCAGGTTCTCACAGCAATGAGTATAAAGATGACTCTCTTCTGGGATGTTGTGCTACATATTTGTTTTCTTCTAAGACTACACAACAAAAACAAATGTTGTAGTCAAGTGGTTATCACTCCTGCTTTACTTTTGGAAGGTACTGGGTTAAGATCTTGGCCAGAAAACTGGCTATCCTGACTGAGGTTTTTCGTGGTTTTAATCAATCCCTCTAGGCTGATGCCAGGATAGTACCTTAAATTGGGCCATGACTGCTTCCTACCACATCCTTTCCAGTTCAACCTCTCATTTGGTGTTATATAGTCTGAGCTACTAATAAAGCATCATCAAATAAACTGCAAATTAATATTAATAAATACACAGCATAACAGATCATAAGACAGTCATATTCAGTAAATACACATTCATCATCATGGGTTCTACAGCCTATTACAGGCCTTGACCACCCCAGTAAATACACACTGCTTATACAAATAAATTATCTGTACAGTTACAGGGTTAATACATAACAGCTACAAATAGCATAAGAATCAATTAACATAATTTATAAACACATTCTGATCCTTTGCAAGTCTTCTAGTTGGCATATTTTCTGTATTTGCAGACTTTGTGGGACAGCGTACATGTTGTGCAGTCCTGTGTCAATCAATGGAAGAAAACACCTTGGAAGAAAATTGATGTTGAAAATATGGATGTAGAATGCAAGAAATTCAGCAAAGAGATCCGAGGTGAAGAGAAACTTCAAGTTTTGCCTATCTGTGATGACTTGAACAATAATTATAAATGTGATAGTTACCTAATTACAGAACATTAACTGTGCCATTTTATGAACATTAATTGTGGTGATTAGAGCTTATACCATATTAAAGAGGAAAGGATATATATTACTAATGTTTGAAAACAAAGTCCTCTAGAAATTTGTTGGGCCTAAGAGGGACAGAATGGGTTGTAAATTTAGGGTATCATATAAAAATAATTCATGATACATGCTTGTCACAACACACACGATGCGCACATGCTCCATGTGTTGTACCCTATATGCCCCTTCATAATTCTATGACGGACGTTACGATGTGCGTTACAACGGACGTACTTTGTACGGTTGTGTGGCCCCAGCGTGCACTTTGTAAATGGTAATTCTTGGAGTTAATAATTTGTATTTGTATTTGTGTAGTTTTGGATAAAGACATGCGAGGATGGGACACTTACATCAAGGTAGAAGCCATGATCAAGAACCTCCTAACTTCCTTACGTGCTGTCACAGAACTGCAGAACCCAGCCATTCAGGAGCGCCACTGGCAACAACTTATGGCTGCCACCAAGGTCAGACATCTTATAGTTTCAGCATTTCAGCAGCATATGGATTGTAATCTGTAGATGCAGATTAACATACTTTTTGTAACTTATTCTTGGCTTTCCTTTGTTCCATGCTACTAGTGTGTAGAACGTCTTGGACCAAAATACACTGTGAGTAGTAGAGAAAGTGATTTACAAGAATGTTTATCTGGTTCACTTCTTCTTTCTTTCTTTCTTTCTTTCTTACTTTCTTTCTTTCTTTCTTTCTTCTCTCTCTCTCTCTCTTTTGCATGATGGTGTATTCAGTCCTCTTTTAGTACAGGTCTCTTAATACTGCTAGTGCTAACGAATTGTTGATGGTATTTCTTGTAATCTTGAGTGACATATTTAACTCACAGAATTATGCCTGTATGTTTTGAAGGTTAAATTTGTAATGGATAATAAAACCACACTAGCTGATCTGCTAGCACTGAACCTACATGAATATGAAGAGGAAGTTAAGAATATTGTAGACCAGGGAGTGAAAGAGATGTCTATGGAGAAAGTCCTGAAAGAACTTAATGGTACCTGGTCTGGCATGGAGTTTGAGAAAGAGATTCATCCTCAAACCAACTGCACAGTGATTCGAGCAAGTGAGGAGTTGATCGAGACACTGGAAGAGAACCAGGTACATTGCAATATAGGAAATACAGTTATAAACAAGTTTGTTGTAATGTTTTGTTGCACTGTGTAGTCTGGTAGAAGTTTACCAGCGTTTCAGAGGCGCTTTCTTACTCACCACTGTGAGAAACTGAAATCTCACTTTGTTATAAAAATTGGATTATTTCCCACAATTAGTAATGAAGTACAGGGAATATTTTGGTGTTTTGATAGGATAATGCAATAAAGTGGCTTGCTGCAGGATCAGTAGCTGGGATTTAATTTCCCATATAAGTGAGCATTTCTTTTTATCGGCATCAGCTTTGGAGCCCACCCGGCCTCTTATTTTAGTACTGATGAAACAGCTTAAGCATGAAGCTGACCTTTCACCTATGTCTGGTGCCATTGTTAATGCTTTGACCTTTACTTTCACTCATAACATGATACTTAACCTATTTAATTTTTTTGCATGTAATTAACCTTACAGGTGCTTGTAATTCATTCATTTAGCTCCCTACTGCATCGCTGTAGTTGTTTGACAAGCAATTAATAAATAAGAGTATAAAGTACATTATAAATCCTGTTTTAAAGATACTGTTTGTTCTCATTCATACAGTGAGCTTCTGCAGTATCTTTTATATAATAAAGACAATCTTGGACCCAGTGAATTTTAATACAATATATTTTAAAGGCTATAATCCAATGCACTCTTATATAACAAATTATGATAGTTTTATTTCTCTAAGTTTTCCCACATGAAAGTTTTACTTCATATAATTTTACATTAGTGATTTCTATGTTACTGACAGAATTTTGTCAGTACCACAGCAGAATGTTGTTGTTGAACTATTTTTTATGACATGCATCCTTTTAGCATAAAATAGTGAGAAAAAAAATTTGATCATTTTGTTTTAGATTGTGACACCATATAGCCTTGCAGATGATTGCCAATGTTTCAGAGCAACTTCTTGTCTCTATCTGTGCAAAACATAAAATCCTACACGCTGAAGGAACATAATCACTTGGCTCACTGCATGTGGGAAATATCCAACAGTGAAAGGATCAATATGTGTAATATGTCTGGAGTCAAAGATTATTTTAATTAATATTACATCATTATGAATGAACATATCCATCACTATAATTGATTTTATAGGTAGCTCTTCAGAATCTGATGAGCTCCAAGTATATTGGTTATTTTCTGGAAGAAGTGTCAGATTGGCAAAGGAAACTTTCCAATGCAGATCAAGTTATTCAAGTCTGGTTTGAGGTTCAGAGGACATGGATGCATCTTGAATCCATTTTTATTGGATCAGAAGATATTCGTAAACAACTACCAGAAGATTCTAAACGATTTGATCAGGTTGACGGACAGTTTCGGGTAAGCATATTACTTCATTTATTAGTATTTGCTGTTTTTAATAAGATGTGATTAATATCATTAAAATGTCATAATTCAAGCAGGGTATAGAGAAACTTGCGTGATGGTTCTTCTTATTACTATTTTCGGTTATTTATATTACAATGATTGTGTTGGACTAGGTGTGTAGTTCAGGTGGGAGATGCTAGAAGCATAACTACATTGCTGTTAGGAAACTTGGTGGGTAACTTATTAAAGATTAACACCTTGTTACTGTAGTCTTCTTGACCTGTTTTCATAAAACTCATTTACTTCTGTATTGAGTTGAATTCTTTACACAGAAAACTATGTCTATCTAACACCAGTTTTCCACAAATTCTTTTAATACTTGTTTTATTTATATCAAACTGAATATCTGACATGGTTTCTGATGTCGATGAAAGACTCTCGGGTTATAAGCCACCTGACACAGCTTGTAACCCAAGTATCTTTTATCAACTTCAGTCCCCGCAAAGCTTCACTTTATACATGATTTCTGATGTTGAAGTGGCTAAAATAAACATGACTGATATTCTGCATGTTATCTGTTGTCTTGGTTTCTTCCAAACAAAACTGGAAACTAGATCTGTTTCCATCTTCAGGTATGAAATAGTCAGGAGAAGAAGGGTTCCTACTCAGCTGGGTCCCTTTGAATGAGCAAGTCTTGATCACTGTCAGTGTTAAATTAGAGGGGCCCAGCTGAGTGGAAACATTTCCTCTCCCTTCTTCTTCACTTGAGGACAGAAACAGATTGCTTCTGAAACATTTTGTTTGGAAGAAAACAAGATGGTAAATGATGTCCAGAATAGTAGTCATTTTTATAATTCATTGTCTATTCACATTTCAACACCAGGTCCTGCTGCAAGATATGGTGAAAACAGTAAATGTGGTGCAAGCAACAAACAAACCTGGCCTCTTTGAGAAGTTGGAGGTACTACAGAAGGACCTTACAGTTTGTGAAAAGGCTCTAGCTGAGTATCTGGAAACTAAGCGATTGGCATATCCACGCTTCTACTTTATCTCATCAGCAGATCTACTTGATATACTATCCAATGGCAATCAACCAGAGTTAGTTACCAGGTAATAATGACACCATGTGCAGAAAATAATTTGGTGATTTACGTTTCAGTGTGTTTTAAACTTAATGCATGAAAGTCCAGAAAGTTTAAATTAAATTAAATTAAATTAACACCCAGTAGCTTTTAAATCAATTGATGAATTTTTATGAAACTTTATCATGCTACTAGAGATCACTTTACCCTTCTAATTTCTTGCCATAATGATCTTGTAAACTTCTGATGTGGAAGTACCATGTAATGCAGGATTCTGAAATTTGTTGTGATAGTAGGGTTCTGAAAACTGACAAATTCTTGTCAGATCTTTTGTGCTCACCATACATGATTGTCTTCCCATATAATTTGATACTATATAACAAGAATTTAAACATCATTAAATTATACAATTATTTTTAATTTCAGGCATCTCACCAAACTCTTTGACTCAATTTCACAACTTAAGTTTGAGCAGTCAGGAGGAAAGAACACCACAAATGCAATTGCCATGTGGGCAAAGGATGGAGAGTTTGTGAACTTCAGTGGAGCATGTGACTGTTCAGGCAAGGTAAGTGTCCATATTTTTATAATCTATACAGAAAGGAAATTATGTCTATTGCTGTTAGTATTCTATGGACAGATATTATTTTATGCTGTTCTTGCACGTGCATAGTCATTTGTATTCTTTAATAGAATTAGATGTATTTGAGTATGACTGTACATATGACACAGTTTTTGTTGTGGCCAGGTTTGCCCCTCTGTGAAGATGATATTAGCTAATGGGTTCTTCAGTCTAGATGTATGCACCAGGAAACAAATTTCTTTGTTCGTGCGTGAACATACATACATATGTATTTGTTGTCCTTCAAAGTAAATTTGACATGCATAACATCATATCATTGCCATAAGATATAAATACTAAAAAACATACTTATATCATGGCTCAGTTCTTTGAGATACAAGAAAGAGATATGTCTTCCAGTTTAATGAAGCTTAAAATATATTTTAATTTTATTTTACTTCTTCATCTACTTACCTTCCTTACATTCATCCTGAAATTCACAATCTGCAAGAAAGAGTTTATTAGTGTCATATTCCTCAATCTGTTTACAACTAAAAGAGCCATGACTACTACCTAACATCATAACAGCCCTCCCAAATTTTTAAAACTTGGAAATCAAAGCTATATCTCGCAAAGTCATGCAGGAAAAAATATATTTATTGTAGTCAAAAACTTCTACATACTGTTAACAGATGTCCTACCCTTCAGGAAATAGTTTATTGCATAACTGCAAGATCCACAGGGCCACTGGCTTATATTGCATCTCACATTATTGCAAGCTCCACAGTTAAAGAATCGGTTTTTATGTGTTCTGCATGATGGAGTGATCCTATAAATATCTCCACATGTTCTGTCACCAAAAGTACCAAACAGATATTAATTAAATTTGGTATTGGAGGGTCTAATTTAAAATTTTCAAGCTTATTTAATTTTTATTTGTTTAAGTCTAATATAACCCTTATTTTACTTGCAACCCAAATTCAAACATCATTTTCCTTAAAAATGGCTCTTCATGCAAGTAAGTGGTACATAATATGAACTTTAGATTCTATGAAGATCTGCAGCTATTATTTGAAACACTTTTTCATATTATGTATATTTAACAAAATGAGACAAGTATAATTAACAGTTACACTGTGTGGTATCTGTAGTGTAATCATATTTGCTTTAATAAATTTGTATCTGTAATAATAGATATGAATCTAAATAAATTAACATTAATGCCAATGAAGTATGTAGAATCATGAAGAGAACATTTGGAAAAGACATATTTGCATTATTGGAGCATACATTTCCATGTTCTTTATGATATATTTTGATTTATTTAATGTGTTGACATTCACAAACAACCAGTCCAGCTCATTCAGTCTTAATAAAACTCTTAATCACCTTACATTAGAAAATAAAAATATATTGTAATACATGTAACATCCATCTTCATTACTTGATAGTTTTCTTTGAATGTTGTATATTGCCCAGGTAAATTATAAATATTTTATGTGTGTTCCACATTTCAGAGGCTGGTTCTGGCAGTCTCCTTTTTCAGGTAGAAATAAATTGCTTTACATACCTATTGCCAAATTTATGTTATAGGTTCAGAATTAGTAATATAGAGTGCCACATAACTATTTCATATGTGTGTACTTACTATTTGTTTAAAGAATGCTTCTGTGTTCATCTAGGTGGAAGTTTGGTTGAATCGATTAACTGACACAATGAGACGCACAGTGCAATACTACTTTGGTGAAGCAGTGGTTTCCTATGAAGATAATCCTCGTGAGAAATGGATTTTTGATTATCCTGCACAGGTTTCCTTATGTGGTACACAAATATGGTGGACTACAGAAGTTAATATTGCTTTCGCTCGTCTAGATGAGGGTTATGAGAATGCAATCAAAGATTACAACAAGAAGCAGGTATTAAAGCCATTTTACCTATAAATTATTTTAAGAGAATTATTTCCTGAGCTACATGAATCCAGCCCACATCTTCACATCCTGTTCCTTTTATGATCCCTTTTGTTGTTGTCCTCCCATCTATCCTTAGGTCTCCTATATGGGCTCTTCCTTTCAGGTTTTCTGACTAAATTTGATTATGCACTTAGTAGGATTTGAGGTTCTCAAGGCTTTGAATACAAAGATGGTGTCTTCTAGGCTGTAGCACCTTGTAGTGTGGTAGACGTTTATCAGCGTTTCAGATGTCCTTCCTACCTCAATTATCAGGGTAATGAGTAAACATTGCCCTGATGATGGAAGCAGCAAGGGTCTCTGAAATATTGGTAAACATCTACCAGACTATATGATACTACAACCCAGAAGATAACCACCTTATTGCATTTTCTATCTTTCTCACTGTGAATGTGTTAAAAAATAAATAACATGTTCCAGATAACTCAGTTGAACACACTCATCTCACTCCTGCTTGGTGACTTGACAAATGGAGACAGACGTAAGATAATGACCATCTGTACCATTGATGTGCACTCACGAGATGTTGTGACCAAGTTGATTGCGACAAAAGTGGAAAATGCTTCAGCTTTTCAGTGGCAGTCACAGCTACGACATAGGTAATGTATCATATCAACTTTAGCCACGCAAATTATTGAAGCTTTCCATTCAATCTGAATTGTCTTACCTCAGTGAATTTTTGTTTACAAATAGTAACAAAGTATTTTCTACTCACTTTGACTTGCAATTTCAGTATATAAACTGTTTAAATTTAGGAAATCCTTATTTAATTAGAACAGGGTGGGCAAAAATGGCATCTACGAGCAAAAATCAACTTTCAAAAAATTCATATAATCTTAGAAATTATTTAGATATTATTAATAAGTTAGTTTAATTCTCAGTTTTTACTTTTCGTATATATTAAAGGAATTAATATAGTGACAAAAAATAATTTCATAACAGTAAATAAAATATGATTCTTTGATGACACTCAAGTTTTGGGGTCCATTTTGTATGAATTTGCTATATTAATTACTATACATATAAGTGGGTGTAGGAAACTTGAGCGAGGCCTATTCCATAATTGGATTAATAAGTATTTTAATTCTCTTTTTATATGTTTTAATATACCTGTAAAGTATGTTCATTCAGTGCAAATAATAGATATTTAATACTTTTTGAACTTTGCCATACTTCACATTAGGTTCTCCAGTCATTGAAATATGCCCATTCAGCCACCAAGAAAAAACATTTACAAAACAAATTTGGTAGAGGAACATAAGAGACAGATTTAAAGAATTCTCATATCTTTAAGTAAATGATCATGGAACCAATATCTGTTAAAAACACCAGTCATTAACAGTTTATAGATATGTTCCTGGAGAAGGCAGCTGATTGCATAATTCATGGCCTTTAAAACAGTGAATTTATGATTTGCATGTAATTATTATTTCATAGATGGGATGAGAAGATGAAAGACTGTTTCTGCAACATTTGTGATGCTGAGTTTCGTTATGCTCATGAATATCTGGGCAACACAACTCGTCTTGTCATTACTCCACTCACTGATCGTTGTTATATAACCTTGACACAGGTGAGCATTAAATCAGTATAAGGAGAAAGAGCAATGTGAAGTGTACTCTACTTCTATTAATTTAACACAGAGTATGTAATAAATGTCCTTATTTTAAATTTATTACAATTTTATGTTTGTTGTAAATATTTCAGTAGTTGCTCAGGGTCCGCAGTGGTCGCGCGTTCTGAGGCGTGGGCCTTGTGCTGCTTGGTCGCTGGGACCATGGGTTCGAATCCCACTTAAGCCATGGATGTTTTTCCGCGTCTTTCTGTGTTGTGCTTCCCGTGTACAAGTAGAGGCCTTGCGACGGGCCAATCCCTCATCCAAGGAGTCGTACCGAATGACTATAGATCAAGCCAATGAAAAGTTGGGACCCACAGTGCTCAGGCACTTGAAGAACGGGTCGTTAAATAATTTAATTTAATTTAATTAAACAGTATAATTCAAGGATACTATTTAAACTTCAATGTTTGAACTTAATATTTACTTTATTATAACAAAGTAATTTAATTTGGAAATATTTGCTGATTTAAAGAAAAGAAACTTTTTTTCAGGAATTAAAAACATTAGCATGTAAAATCCACAGAGATGAGAAATACATGTAAAATGTTGACCATAAAATCTAAAGGGAATAGAACATTTAGGTTATATACACATAGATATGATAATATTAAAGAAATAGCATGTGATAATGTGCTCTAGAGTCGTGTACCCCGTTATAGGGTCCTGAAGTGGGCTGTTTGAACATGGTAATGAACATTTGGATGCATAAAAGACAGGGAATTTCTTGACAAGTTTAGCAACTCATAAAATCAGCCATTTATTTGCATTTGTTGTACATTTTCTTGCAGTCACTGCATTTAATTATGGGTGGAGCTCCAGCTGGTCCTGCAGGTACAGGTAAAACAGAGACAACCAAGGACTTGGGAAGAGCTATGGGTATAATGGTGTATGTGTTCAACTGTTCAGAGCAGATGGATTACAAGGTGATCATTTAGTGGATATAAAAGATGAGGTTACTGCTGAATTTATTTTATTACATTTAAGAAGCTATGGTTTATTAAGTTATTTTGTGATTTTGACAAATTTTGTTCATTGTAGACTTTATTTGTAAATCTATACGATATCAGGAAGGGTCCTGTTTATTTTTGTATACGCTGAACTCTTTAAGTCAGTAATTGCTTATTCCATCTTCTGTATGTCTATTATATATTTAAACAACTCATGTCTTCTTTGGTTCTGCAAAAATGACATACTTTGAAATTAAGAAATAATTATTAGTTTCTTATATCTAAATTAACCCTTATAGTGTCAGCATCTCACTGAGAGGCACACAAGCATCTGCTGCAATTTTCAGAAAAGCCAACAGGTGGAGCACATTGAATGCTTAATAATTATCTGTTTTTGTAAAAACAGATAAATATGTTAACCAGTTCCTGTAAAAGTGTCAGTATTTTATGTGAAGTATTTTGACATTTATTAGCATTATTGTGATTCCTTGCATGACACTTTCCAGATGTATTTTTACCACTCAAAGAGTAACTCCTTTGCTGTTTAGTTAATTCTGGGAATATTTTAATTATAGACAGAAGAATTTAGTGTTTCTATTCAGTTAAGTGGAACCCTCAGTTATCTTTATTCATTACATTGCCCTTGTAGTTTACACTAGCATAGTTTGAAACCAAAGCAGACATATGTTGTAAAAAAGTCAATATAAATTACATCAAACTCAGGTAAAGGAACAATTTTTCTAGTGTACATTGTTTTCAATTATGCAGTCCTGTGGCAACATCTATAAGGGCTTAGCGCAGACTGGAGCATGGGGATGTTTTGATGAGTTCAACCGCATCTCAATAGAAGTGTTATCTGTGGTGTCTGTGCAAGTGAAAACAGTACTGGATGCAATCAAGAACAAGAAAGCTAAGTTTAACTTCTTTGGTGACATAATTTCTCTTGTTCCAACTGTTGGAATTTTCATCACCATGAATCCTGGCTATGCTGGTCGAGCAGAGCTGCCAGAAAATCTGAAGGCTCTCTTCAGGTAAAATTACGATTTTCAATATGTTATTTTAATCCAGATACATAAATATGTAGCTCATAGGCACAATGTGATATTTTTACATTTTTTTACTGTTCATTCATTTTGTTAGTAATAATTTAATCAATTTGCCTGTATTTGTAGCTCAGGTACAGGAAATGAAATGCTTACAGAATTTTGGAAGGAAAACATTTTGCGAAGTAATGATTTGAAAAATTGAGAAGGATATGGAAGGATAATTTTGAAATAGATCTTAGGTAAATATAGTATAAGCTGGATGATACGATCTGGATTGAACTGATCAGGAACTTATCCTATGCCAGGCTTTAATAATAATTGTTGTTGTACATTCATTATTAGAAATTTAGTAGATTTGATTGATCAATTCGTTGATTAGTAAGTAAGCTATTTGGCTGGTCAGTCATGTCAGTCAGCCAGCTGATTATGTATTTAGCTACTATGTTGATATTCAGTTTGTCAGATAAATCCTTGGTAGTCAGTCAGTTAATTAATTATTTGGTTTATTTGTTCCTTCATATACATCCAATATAATTCATTACAGATAATATTCATGCATATTTAATTTTATCTGAAGTCTTACTGGCTGCTTCTGAAAAAAGTGTTTGTGTTTATAATGAGCAGTTAGCTTTCAAGAGATATTCAAAAACAAAATGTGTGCCTTATATTCAGGTGAATGCAGTTGTTTAGAAAGCTCTTAAATTACATTCTGATTTTTTTAAGGAAGTGAGAGGTTTCTATGTATGTCTTTAGATAATTTTGTTATCTTAAAACCATGGAAGGCTGAAATTTAAACTCCACAAAATATAATACAAATATCTCATATTAAAAATGGCATTGGCTTCATCTTTATTGTGTTCCAGGCCATGTGCTATGGTGGTACCAGATAGTGAGCTGATATGTGAAATCAATTTGGTGGCAGAAGGTTTCCAGGAAGCTCGTCTTCTTGCCCGCAAATTCATCACATTGTACACACTGTGTCAAGAACTTCTGTCAAAACAGGATCACTATGACTGGGGACTCAGAGCAATCAAGTCTGTCCTTGTGGTGGCAGGGTCATTAAAAGTAAGTGCATATGACTTCACTTTGACTCTTATAAATATTTAAAACGAGAATAAGGAAAACTGGAGAGCTCTTTTTGGGCAGAGCAATGGACCTGTCGTAAGACAGAACACTGAATAATAATAATAATATATAACATGTGTATCCTGCTACACAATGAAGTTTTACATTGTATATACAATTAAAGAAGTTTTGCTAATACAGACAACTACAGCAACAGTTTGTGCAAGTACTGCTTATCAGCTATTTAGCTGGTCTTTATTCTTAAAATACCCAGTTCAATTCATTACCTAGGACTGGCTATACTGACTGAGGTTTTTTCTAATTTTCCTCAAATTCTTCAGGAAATTGCCAGGATAGTCTCACAATGACAATTTAATCCCTTAGTTAAGAAACCATTATAAAATTAAATGATCTACTGGACTTCTGTACTAAAAGATGTGTGCCTAACCACATGAATTAATTTAATTTTCACTGCCTTAATGCTAATGAATGTAAGACTTTGTAAATTTGATTAATGCAAAGCTCCATTATTGTTTAAGGTCCAAGCTATAGGTCCCCTCTTATAGCTATCATACTTGACATTGTCTTAACATCTTTCGTAATTTAATCCATCCCATACATGCCCTCAGAGAAATTACTTTTCTTTTCAAAGATTACTGTCTTTTGGATTGTAGTGTCATGTAGTCTGGTAGAAGTTTACTTGTGTTATAGAGGTCCCTGCTGCCTGCATCATCAGAACAGTGCTTACACATCGCCCTGATGATGAAGGCAATAGGAGTCTCTGAAGTATTGGTAAAACAGATTACATGGTGCTACAACCCAGAAGACATCCATCTTTGTACATGCCACTGTGAGAACCTCAAGTCCTACTTAATTTCCTTCTCCACTCCCAGGATGATCACAAATCAGGATTGTTTACAGGAACATAACTGAAAGCATTAGCTATAACATGTTGGTGGTAGATTAAATGATGCTTACTGCAGTAAAAGTCTTCTTACAGTTATGCTTCTTCCTTCTTTACAACTTCAAACTGAAAATATATATACATAGAAAAACGATTATATGGCTGTGATGGCTGCTTGTTGTGAGTCAAATTACTTACTAAATATACCCTCAGACTGGTACAGTGTCAACTTAAAATGCGTCATGCCTATTTCTGTTGATCAGATAAACCCAGAAACCAGTGTGTAATCATGTCATTACAGCGTGGAGATCGTGGACGACCTGAAGATCAGGTGCTCATGCGGGCATTACGTGATTTCAATATCCCCAAGATTGTGACAGATGATGTTCCTGTATTTATGGGACTAATTGGAGACTTGTTCCCTGCTCTTGATGTCCCACGTAAGAGAGACCTCGATTTTGAGAAGATGGTCAGGCAGGCAGCTATTGATTTGAAACTGCAGCCAGAGGACAACTTCATACTAAAGGTGTTACTTATTTTTTGTTCTGGAGTCATTAGTCTACTCTGCATATTTTATAATTTTAGTCTGATGGAGAAAGTGAAGAACTGCTGAAGCTAGAAATGTGAACGTTTTTATGGAGATTGATATTAAACTCATATTCAGATTCTGCATGCTACTTTTCTCTACTATGTTAACAATTAAAAACTACTTGGATAAGGCCACAGAATTAATATGATGTGCTTGATTCATATCGTTTTTGTTGTAGATTGTGCAGCTTGAGGAATTGTTAGAAGTTAGACACTCTGTCTTCATTGTTGGAAATGCAGGGACAGGTAAGACAATGGTGTGGCGTACCCTGTTTAAAACATACCAGAACCAGAGGAGGAAACCTGTGTATAATGACCTTAATCCTAAAGCAGTCACCAACAATGAGCTGTTTGGAATCATCAACCCAATTACACGGGAATGGAAGGATGGTAAGTATACTCTGCTTAGCAGAGCAAATCCTCACATTTTATATTTCAAAGGATCATAACTGTAACAAACAATTTAGACTGTGACCTTCTAAGTTGCAATACTATGTAGGGGGTTGCCAACATTTCAGAGTCATAACTATCATAAATATTTCCACCTGCATTGTAGAGTCTTCTGTAATTTCTGTCCTTCCATAAATATTCCTCTTGTGTCTGTGTCTAACCCAAAAGTTTATAACCGTGGTTTTCCTCAGTCTCTCAAGACAAATGCTGGAATAATACTTCATACTAGGCTACAACCTCTTCCATCTACAGACTTTCCAATTAATTGTTCATAAGCATCCAATCATTCAATCCTCTGTAACTTGAGTGGTTTAGAATGTGTGATTAAATAAACTAAGAAACAAACAGAACTTGATGAATTATTGTCGTTAGTAATTCTTTGTTATCTTAGATAATTTTATGATGATATCTGCACAATTTGTAGGTCTAATACCTGCACTGTTTCGAGATCAAGCTAATATGTCAGGTGATGGACCAAAATGGATTTTATTAGATGGAGATATTGACCCTATGTGGATTGAGTCTCTCAACACAGTGATGGATGATAATAAGGTGTTGACACTAGCAAGTAATGAACGCATTGCTCTGACAAAGATGATGCGTCTCATATTTGAAATTGCCTCACTGCGAACTGCAACCCCTGCCACTGTGTCACGAGCTGGTATCCTCTACATTAACCCTCAGGATTTGGGTTGGAGCCCGTATGTATCAAAAAAATGTTTTAAGCTACCAGATTTTAATAACACCTAAAACTTCAATTACATTCCTAGCATACTATTTTCTTCCTTTTACCCTCTTTCTTTCTTGTTTTCTTTCTCATAGATTTACAAATATTTTATTAATATTGTGCTGGAGAGACATGCAGAAGAAATTATGTATATTATTATTGATCTTCTTTACGCACCTTTAATACTGCCTACTCATGCCTTAATATTTAATTTATTATAACGTGTTTTGAACCGATGGATCCATCTTCAGGCCTTCATTTTATTGATATTTATTTGTTTATTAAAAAAGAAACTGAATTAGATATTTCTATGCAAAGTACATGTAGTGTTTGAATATTTCTGTTATTCATTTGAGAAGATTGGTTTATTTCACTGCAGGCCAGCTCTGTTCTTTAGGTTATTTTCTCAGCAAATTAATGTTTATCAGTATCACCATATCAAGGATTAAACCTCATGGCTTATGTCTAAATTATTTTCACCAAAAATGTGATTGATATTGGTGTTTGACTAATAGTTTTCTTGTGTCTGATGACCTTTAGTTTTGTAGCCAGTTGGATTGATCAGCGTGAACAGCAATCTGAGAAAGGAAATCTTACCATCCTGTTTGACAAATATGTGCCCCCATGCCTGGAAGTTTGTCGTTCACGATTCAAGAAAATTACACCCATTGCTGAAATCTCCCACATTCACATGTTGTGCCATTTACTGGATTGCCTTCTCACACCTTCCAACACTCCAGTTGACTGTCCTAAGGAATGGTATGAAATATATTTTGTGTTTGCCTCTGTGTGGGCATTTGGAGCTGCCACGTTTCAAGACCAGGTTTGTATATATTTGGGATGTATGTCCTCTTTTGATCAGTTTTGTGGTATTTTTCTGGGTCATTAATTTTATTAATTTTATAAGTCTGAGATTGTTTCTAGCTGATGGACTACCAGATGGAATTTTCCAAATGGTGGACAAATGAATTTAAGACAGTGAAATATCCAGCACAAGGCACTGTGTTTAACTATTACATAGATAACAAAACAAAATGTTTCCTGCCATGGAATGACATGGTAAAGCCCTATGAGTTGGACTATGAAATTCCACTTCAGGTAAACATGCAACTTCTTAGCTGTTCTCCACAAAGTTCGTACTGTTCTGAACACAATTTCCTACCTCCATGAGATTTTCTATACATGAATGGAAAACTATGAGTAGAATAGATACAATAGAAAGTCTGAAGTTTTTTTTCATATTAGACCTATCTCAATCTGCTTGGTAGTTTAGCATTTTTTATGTGAGAATAGGAAATTTTAACCCCTTATTACTATAATATAAATAAGCACACAAACAACTATTAACACTATAAAGAAGACACTATTTTAAAACCCTTATTACTGGTATGCTGGCTGAACTATAACTCTGGGGTTAACAGTTGTGCAGTATGATAGTGTGAACACAGACAGCTAGACAGAGTCTAAGCTTTTATAAATGGCTAATGTAGGTTAAGAGAAATCACAGTGTATAAAAAACTAACAAATGTGTTTTCTACAGACTACTCTAGTGCCCACATCAGATACAACGTGTATTCGCTATTTCGTGAACCTACTGATGGCAAAGAAACTTCCTGTGATGTTGGTTGGACCAGCAGGCTCTGGGAAGAGTGTGATTGTTGCTGAGAAGCTACTTTCTCTACCCGATTCATATGCAGTAACCAATGTTCCATTCAATTTTTACACCACTTCAGAAATGTTACAGAAAGTACTTGAGAAGCCTTTGGAGAAGAAGGCAGGCAGGAACTATGGGCCACCAGGCAACAAAACAATGGTTTACTTCATAGATGATATGAATATGCCTGAGGTTGACACATATGGGACCGTGCAGCCACATACATTAATTAGGCAGTTCCTGGATTATGGTCACTGGTATGTGTGTTTACTTCTTTACTTGCAGCAAAATATGCATTTAACACTTCTCTGCAAGGACAATTAATTTTAACACTAAACTGGGGAGGTAAATAATGATTTTGCAGCCCACAGCCAAACACTTTATTGCCTGAGCTATCCCAGTTCATATTCTAACACATGATTAACTTTGTCAATAATTTCTTTGCATCTGCAATAAATAAAAATCAAGACCAACCATGAATGCTATCTGCCAAAGCAATATTTGTTAACCATACCACTGCTGGTCCACAGCTTAATGTATGTCAGTCCATACATTCTAATTAATATTATGTTCGTTATATTTTATCAGATGCCACGGTGGTCTAGCGGTTAGAACGCTGGCCTTGTAATACTGGGGTCTCGGGTTCGTTTCCCGGCGGTGCCCGAATTTGAAACTTGTGTTGGGCAAGGCCGTGGTCTAGGCAACACGGAGTTTTCCTCCGCGGGCTTCCCCGGTTTCTCCGTGGCATCCCAACAATTACTCCATTCACACACAGAAGAAGGCAATGGCAAACCACTTCTGGATCATTTGCCAAGAACGTATATGAACAGGCCCCAGTCCGAGAAAAGGATGGAAGGATCCTGTTCATATGGACCTGTCGTCTGACAGAACACTAAATAAATAAAAAATAATAATATTTTATCACAGTTGTAACAAATGCTTTCAGCTAACTCCTTTTTTATTTTCTTTTAGAAACTAAGTGAGCCAGGTAGCTCAGTCAGTAGAGTGACTGGCTATGTGCTGGGCGATTGGGGTTTGATACCCAATAGAGGCAGAGGATTTTCTTCTAGACTCTGTGTCCAGACCGTCTCTGGGGCCCATCCAGGGGTCATTGCCTGGGGTAAAGTGTGGTTGGGGTATGCTTCTAACCACTCACTCTCTTCTAGTGCTGAGGTTCAAAATGAGTAGGAGCTATACCTGCTTTCCCCTACATGCCAACATTGGCACGTAAGAGGTTGGCTTTTTTAGAGACTAAAAAAATTGTTATTGACTATTCATACTTTATTTAGCACAGATTCTTACTAAGTAAGTCAATTCTTAATTAACTTCCTTTTCATTATATATCAATGGAAAATTTCTCACGATATGAATTATCTTACATATTGTTCTTAGTTGCAAATGACATTTTAAGCATTAATAAAGTTATGACCTTAAGGCATTAATTTGTATATCATAATAAACATTAAGATGGCTGTCTAATGGGTTGCAGCTCTGTATAGTCTGGTAGACATTTACCAACGTTTCAGATGTGCTTTCTGCCTCCATCATCAGGGCACTCATCACTTTGATGATGGAGGCAGTAAGCACTTCTGAAACGTCATTAAACTTCTACCAGATTACGCAGTGCTATGACCCAGAAAACAGCCAACTACATATATGCTGCCATGAGAACCTGAAATCCAATGTAAGAAACATGTATAGATATATTAATGCAATAGTGTTTTAATTGTCTGACTTAAATGGGTCCAAAGGATGGGCAGACAATCAAAAATGTCAGATAATACAGAAGACTATTAAAAACGATGAGGATAAATATCAAATCAGTTTATGATATTAAATTATTAAGAAAATACAATATGGCATCAAATGAAAAAATCTCACAAATAAAAATAGTATTTAGCACAACGTAAATTTTAAATGAAAGAGTTTTTTTTAAAGAAATTATTGATGAGTATACTTGCTTCTGAGTATCAGATAAAATGGAATTTGTGATAACCAAAGGTCAGATTATCAGGGCTCTAATGTTAATATAGACTATAATTTGTACCATATAATATGAGGCATGGGAAACTGGTGCTTTGAAAACATATTGATGATTTACTGACCTCTTAGGAGAGATCTACTGTCCCAATAATCCATTTTGAACTCATAACAGTTTACATCTACATTCTTGTATGTTTCAGGTATGACCGCGCTAAACTGCAACTGAAGGATATTCATAACTGCCAGTATGTATCTTGTATGAACCCAACTGCTGGTAGCTTTACCATCAACCCTCGGTTGCAGCGGCACTTCTGCGTGTTTGCAGTTAATTTTCCAACAGGTGAACCACTGACAAGGATATACACAGAGATGCTGGTTCAGCATCTTTCAAACCCACATCTTAAGTTTCCACCCAATGTAGGACGAGCATCATCTTTACTGGTCACTGCAGCACTGTCTCTACATCAAAGGATGTCACAGCTGTTCTTGCCAACTGCACGAAAATTCCACTACATTTTCAACTTGAGAGATTTGTCCAATATATTCCAGGTACATTAAATCATACCACCATGCCCTATTACACCTCCATACTATGGTGCTAAAGCAGGGGACAGCTTTCTTTTACATTCACCATTATAACCATGAATGGGGCACATCAGCTTATGTTCATGTCTCATGACCAAACTGCAGGACAGTCATAATGTAAAAGTAGCTCTTTTTAATGTGGCGAAGTTCAAGTAGCTGGGAATGTTGAAAACAAACTAAGAAGAGATTAAAATCTGGGAATGTTTGTTACCATGCAATTCAGAATCATATAAAGATGAAAACTATAGTCTTACCTATTACTTTTTTATGAGTGTGAAACTTGGTCTGTCGCATTAATGGATTGAGGGTGTTTAGGAAAGAATTTTGAGTGCAGAAGAATAAAGCAACAGAATGCTGTAGAAGCTTGCACAATGAGGAGCTTTATAATTAATAAATACTTTTTACCACATAATATTAGAATGATCAAATCAAGGAGGATGTGATGGGTGGGACACGTAGCACACAGTCAAACATGAGCAAAATGTACAAAATATTGGTTGGTAAGCCTGAAGGGAAAAGAGCACTCAGAAGAACATGGAATAGATTGGAGGGTAATGTTAAAATGTATTTTAGGAAATTAGTGTGGAAGGATGTGTGCTGGACCATTCTGACTCAGAACAGCAACTGGTGGTGTGCTCTTGTGAACATGGTAATGAACAATTAAGTTCTGTGGAAGATGGTGAGTTTCTTGTCTAAAGGTGTATGCTCTCAGCTTGCCAAGGACTCTGCTGCATGGAGAGATTTGGTTGGTTTGTTAGACTAGACAGTAACCTGGTTGAGATTTGAACTAAGTAGCTTCCACATAAAGTTTAGAGAAAGAACTCTTGTTTGCTAACCTATGTCGTCACTAAGTTGTTTTGATGTTTGCAGGGAATGCTCCACAGTATTTCTGAGAGCATATCAAATCAGACAGAGCTGATACGACTGTGGATGCACGAAGCCAACAGAGTATATGGAGATAAACTAGTTGATCAAAATGACATTGACAGCTTTGGAAAGATAGTCATTGAAACCATTAAAAAAGCAGGGTTTGAAGATTTGGATGAAGGAAAGCTCTTTTCAAAGCCACTCATATACTGTCATTTTGCAGAGGGAATTGGCGAATCCAAGTACATGCCCATCAAAACATGGGAACATCTGAACAAACTCTTACAAGAAGGTATGAATTTCTCTGCACATATAGAGGACATCTTGGAATTACCTAGTTAAATACTTAACATCTTATTCCTACTCAATAGCAGGCACATAATAAGGTATTTCATATAATATTTACACACTCATATCACTATGATGTCCAGCTCCCAAACTTACAGTACTTACTTCTTACTGGTTTTATCCACATAACTGATTAACTTTGCATCCAAATTTCTCTCACTTCCTTTCTTGACTTTCTTCCTGTCTGTCTTTATTCATTTTCTCTTTCTTCAATTCTTTGTTTCTTCTTTTCTCTCCTTTTATTTAACTCCTTATTTATTTTATTTTTATCTTTTTATCTGATTTTGTTTGTCTTCCTCCTTTGCTGTTCTTACATGAGATTTGGGGTTCTTGCAGTGTTGAGAATGTCAGTGTTTGTCTTCTTGGTTGAAATACCATGGTGACTTTCAAATAGATACCAATAGTTTGGAGGAACATACTGCCTCCACCTTTAAGGAATTTCCAAATGGCATTACAACCCACAAGACAAGAAGTTTGTTGCCATATTCACAAATATTATTGAATTAGGTTGTATGCCACTTCATTCTAGTTCATGAAGTTCATATTTTCAGAGCCTATTTATTATGGACTTTATTGCTTGCAATTTACAAGGTTTACCAAAACATTGTTTTCTTGCAGCTCTCTCTCAGTACAATGATCTTGTGGCAGCAATGAATCTGGTGTTGTTTGAGGATGCAATGCATCATGTGTGCCGTATCAGTCGCATATTGGAAGGGCCACGGGGTAATGCACTTTTGGTTGGAGTAGGAGGTTCTGGAAAGCAGTCTTTGTCCAGGCTGTCAGCTTTCATCTCATCACTTGAAGTGTTTCAGATTCAGCTGAGGAAAGGATATTCCTTACAGGTAGCAACTGTAATCCAGTGATTTCTCACTGACATGATATAATGCTTTCAGTTGACACAGCTCAGTCGAATAAATTAATAAACAGTAAATTGACCACTACCTCAACATATTCTGTTTTGTTACTCAAATACCATTTGATATTCAGCTACTCTTTATAATTTCTTTGCTGATACCTGGTCACAGTCAAGTCCAGGTGATTATGGTATTTCAGCCATGGAATTTAATTGAATATTATAGTAATATTTAGAATAATATGATAGAATTTGGAAAAAACACATAGTTACTATGTTTGATTCATGTTTCAGGATATGAAAACTGATTTATCTGGATTATATACTAAAGCTGGCCTGAAGAGTGTTGGGATTGTTTTCTTAATGACAGATGCACAAGTAGCAGAAGAACGTTTCCTTGTTCTGATCAATGATATGTTGGCATCTGGTGAGATTCCTGACCTGTTTACTGATGATGAAGTGGAAAATATAGTTGGGACTCTGCGAAATGAAGTAAAAAGCAATGGTTTACAAGATTCAAAAGAGAACTGTTGGCGATTTTTCATTGATAGAGTACGTCGTCAAATGAAGGTAGTTCTGTGCTTCTCTCCAGTTGGGTCAACACTCCGAGTGCGTTCCCGGAAGTTTCCATCAATCACAAATTGCACTGCTATTGACTGGTTCCATGAGTGGCCTCAAGAAGCACTTGAATCAGTGTCTGCCCAATTTCTTCAAGAGGTTGAAGATATTCCTGATGAACTTCAACAATCTATCTCACTCTTCATGGCTTATGTCCATACATCTGTCAATGATATGTCACATGTTAGTTGCATATGTGTTTGTTGTTTGGTTTGCTTAACATTATCTGCCTTGCATCACAGCTTACATGTGGTCCAGCTTACCATACACCCTAATGTTAAAGTCTGGCATATATAGTTCATAGTATTTGGGTTTGAATTCCCTATTTCCATACAATGTAAGTTCCTTGTGGACTGAGTTAGCTCGGTCAGCATAGTGTTGGACTATGGACTGGAGAGTGGGGTTCGATGCCTGGCAGGGGCAAAGGACTTTTCTTATAGCTTCTGCATTGAGACTGGCTCTGGGGTCCACCTGGCATCCTAGCAAATGGGTATCAGGGGTCCCTTCCTCAGGGATAAAGTTTAGCTGGGGCATGACACTGACCACTCACCCCCATCCAGTGCTGAGGTCAAGAATGAGTAGACCAGTATACCTCCTCTTCCCCCAAGCACCACCATGATGTGTAGCAGGACAGCTTTACTTAAAAGCTAATTATGCTTTTTATACATCTTTAATAAAAAATGGCAGAATAATTGTGTATGATAAATTTTGGAGGATTTTTATGGTATCAGCTGAGGAAGCCATTCAGAACTTCAGATACAATAATTGATATCCAGGCCAATATTTAATCATAATAAATTCAGTTCTAGAGATCAATAAAACTGTCATTAGCCATTGATAATTGTACCTTCTTCTTCTTCTTTTTTTAGAGTAATCTCCATTCATTTTTGTTCTGCGCAAATGCTCTTCTCACTTGTGTCCACTCTTTCTTGACCTTGTTATGTATATTTTCTGTCACTTGATCTCTCCACTTAGTCTTTAGTCTCCTCAGCAATCATTTCTTGAACTCAGAAGAACAGAAATTACCAAAACTACAATGCTTATAATCATCTGCAGTATTTTGTTCCACAGATGTCCCTGTTAGATGATCTCTACTCAGTTTTGTTGTTATTGTTGTAGAAGTACCTGGAGAATGAAAAGCGTTACAACTATACCACACCAAAAACATTCCTGGAGCAGATAAGTCTGTATGGGAAACTTGTTTCGGAAAAGACAAACGACCTGAAGGGTCGAATCTTGCGACTAGTAAATGGTTTAGAGAAGTTAAAAACAACAGCAGCACAAGTGGATGATTTGAAATTGGTCCTTGCAAAACAAGAAATTGAGTTAAATGAGAAGAATATTGCTGCTGATGATCTAATTCGAGTATGAATTTGTTTTATTTGCTTATTCAGTAGAACTAACTGGTACAGAATCTTCCTTGAGTCATTGACTGTTAGTGCTTTACTTATTCATGAAAACTTTGCATGTACCAAACCTGAAAGTTCATCACCATTGATCATAAAATCCTGCTGTAGAATCCAATATTAAACTAGTTCAATCACATTTACATCTTTGTAACCCAAGATCCACTTTAATATTTTTCTTCCATCTGTTCCTACATTTCACAAGTGGTTAGTTCCTTTGATTCCAACTAAACTTTTTTTGCAGATTGTGTTTCTCATATGCATGCTTCTGTGTGTATGTGTATGTATATGTATACATTTTTATTTCTGAATGATTTTATCATATGAAAATCATGAAGTTTTTAGAGAATACTTTCATTCAACTTAACTTCTGGATTGATTTGTTTCAAGTTTTTATCTCATAAAGGAATATCATACCAAAAATGACGTAAGTCAAAATTTTATCTGTCTGTACAAAAACATAGCCTAATTTTATTTTATTTTTCTTATTTACAAAAGATTGTTCGTAGTAAGACAATGTATGTATCAGAGGAGAAAGCAAATGCTGCAGAGGAGGAGAAGAAAGTACGAGAGATTGAAAAAGATGTTTCCATCAAGCAAAAAATGTGTGAGGAAGACTTGCGTAGAGCAGAACCAGCACTCACAGCAGCACAGGAGGCGCTCAATACATTAAACAAAACAAACCTGACAGAGCTGAAGTCATTTGGATCCCCACCACCTGCAGTGGTGAATGTGACGGCTGCTGTGCTTGTCCTCTTGTCTAGTAAGGGGCGTATTCCCAAGGATCGTAGCTGGAAAGCATGCAAATTAATAATGGGAAAGGTTGATGCCTTCCTAGAGAACCTCATCCATTATGCTAAAGAAGAAATTCATCCTGATGTGTACAAGGCTGTTCAGGTTAGAAATTAATGAGTGTGTTAGTTTGTTCAGAAGTTTTATGTTTCATAATTAAATCTCCAATATTTCTTTGTGTAAATTGTTTGCTTGTAGCTTACATTTTTAAAATCTGGAATATTCATTCCACAAGGAACTGCCCCATCTTTGTACTCTTTAGTTTTTTACTGTCAGTAATTCCAGTGTGGAGGCCATGCAAATTTCTGAGATGGGAGTGACACCTTTGAAACTTTTTCATGGATATAACTAATTAACCTTTTGGGACATGCATGTAAAATTCTGTGTGGACATAGATTGTAAACATGCCTGTGAACATTTTAAAACTTAACCTGATTTGTTTACATCTGTAAAAAGCACTGGGTCTGTTGTCACATCAGGGATCCAGCAACTGTTTCCCTAAGAAAAAAAATGTGGTTAAACAAATGTAGGAAGCTGTATGTTTGCTTATTTTCCCCTCCAGGAATACATGAAAGATCCTGAGTTTAAACCAGAGAAGGTTTTGAGCAAATCATTTGCAGCAGCAGGATTGTGTGCCTGGGTCATCAACATCATAAAGTTTTATGATGTTTATGTTGTGGTAGAACCGAAACGGCAAGCTTTGCTCCAGGCAAATTCTGAGCTGTCTACTGCCCAGGAACGTTTAAAAGCTCTCAACAATCAGATTGCTTCCCTTGAAGAACAACTTGCTGTACTGACAGCTGAGTTCCAAGAAGCATCAAATGCCAAACTGAAGTGTCAGGCTGAAGCTGATACTACTAAAAAGACCATAGACGTGGCTAATCGGCTGGTAAATGGATTGGCCTCTGAAAACATTCGCTGGAGGGATAGTGTAGCCAATTACAGGAAGCAGTTAGTAACACTTCCTGGGGACATTCTGATGGTAACAGCATTCATCTCCTACATGGGATGTTTTACTCGTATGTATAGAATTGACCTACTCAAGAAATACTGGGAACCATTTCTCAAGAAACTGGTCCCTGCCATACCAGTCACCCCTGATCTTGATCCCATGAAGCTGTTGACAGATGATGCACAAATTGCACAGTGGAACAATGAAGGACTTCCTAATGACAGGATGTCTTCTGAGAATGCGACTGTGCTAACAAACTCAGAAAGATGGCCACTGATGATTGATCCACAGCTGCAAGGTATCAAATGGATAAAAAATAAATATGGCAGTGAACTCAAGGTATGATGTGTCTATAATTATTAACAGTGGTAGTCTTTATATGTATATTTGCATATATGTACCACCTCAAGTTTTGTTGCTGTGGGGTTTTGTAAAGTATTTATGGGAGAAATATCATTTTTGGACTATTTGTTTCCATTTTTTGCAGGTTTTGTAGTTGTTTTTAGATGTTTTTAAATGTTTATGGGATCAAGCCCAGAAAATTCCAAACTCAAATTTTTCCATCATAAGAAAGTAAAGGGTTTTGTTGAATAGGTTTTACTTTTATAGATATTAATAGTGTGGCAGTGGCACTTAAACCATAATTTTCATGAGTAAATTTTGTTTGTTTTACTGCCTGCATTAAAATTCATGCTAGTTTTTCCCATCATAAATGTGGAAAATGGAATGTTCTGAAGGCTACAGTGGGATGCTAGATATTGTTAAAGCCAGATATGAGAATGGTCAAAAGAAATATTCTACTTCTCCAAAGCATGTGCCCCAAATTAGATATACACTCAAATTTTTATAGCATTTTTAAGGAAAAAATTGATTGATTCTAATGCTTGAGACTAAGAACTAATAAATAACATTGATATGAATATTTCTGACGGAGGCAGTATGACCTCTGAAAGGTTGGTTAACATCGACCAGACTACACAGCGCAACAACCCAGAAGACAGAAATCTTCATACTCACCGCTGTGAAAACCTCAAATCTTTCAACATTCATATGATATAGAGCAGGGGTTCTCAACCTTTTTTGCTGGCATACCACTAATTCTAATTTAACACATTAAATGTACCACTAACCAGATGTGTTCGGGGAAAACTTATTTATGTTAATATTATCTTTTTCTTACTTAGTTCGCATACCACTCAACATTGGCTCACGTACCACCAGTGGTATGCATACCATAGGTTGAGAAACACTGATACAGAAAGAACTGCATTAAATTTTAAGAGAGCTATGTTAGCACGGAAAAGTGAGTGGGGTAGTGAGAATGATATGTGGAAAAGATAGGAAAGAAATGTGAGAGGAAGGAGGGGATGAGATAAAAAGGAAAAACAGAGCAGTGGACTAAGATATGAAAGAAATTGTTCCTCAATGAATTTCAGTAGTCTTTATGCATTAGTCTACTTTATAATCCCAGCTGTCCAAAATAAGTAAATAATTATTTATTTAATTGTAATGTCTAAGTTACTGATGTCTAGTCATTGATGTTTCAAATTGTAGTAACTTTTTTTACTGTAACCATAGTTATTCAGTTGAGAAATATCTTTATTTTACATTTTTTACAATTATGTTTCCATACATTTCTTACACAGGTTATCAGACTTTCCCACAAACATTATCTGGAAGTCATTGAGAATGCTCTTTCTGATGGTTCAACAGTTCTTCTGGAGAATATTGGTGAAACTGTATGTATGATTGAATTTTAGAGATTACCAAAGGTAGAGGTAGAAGAACATAAAGAGTGTTTAATGATTCATTAAAACACTCATAATTAGCAAATATGTTATGGAAATGATGTTAATCAGAAGTTTTTCTAGTGGAAGAAAACAAAATATAAAAGGTTAATAATGATTTGGGGGGGGGGATTTAAGTTGAAATAAGAATAAACTTTTTTTGATATAAGTTCCTCTTTTTCATAGTTTTTGGACAGTTATTTCTAAGCAGTAATTTTATGAAATAAACATTTTGTGAGTATTTTCACCCTTATACCAAAATACCAACAAATCAAAAAAAATACTACTTGCAATGACGATGATAATAATAATAATATTGAATGTGTATCATTTATGTTGATATTTACTAAATATCACTGAGCAAAGCATACTATTTATTATGTTCATGAAACAGCTGTACTGTAGCCATAAATATTAGTCACTTAATAACTAAATGTCTTTTTTTTCAACTAAATTTTGCCCAAAATAATTATATTTGTTATTTCAAACATTCATGCACAGAAAATTTTAGTTGGAATATCTAGAGGAAAGAAGTCACCAAAAAACCTAGACATGAGGAAGGATAATATTGAAATGTATCTTAAGTGGCTAATATATGAGGGAGTGGATTGGACTTATATAGCCCAGGATGGGGTCCAGTAGTTGACTCTCATGAACACAACATTATACCTTCAGTGTCCATAAAAGGTGGAGATTTTATTGATTAGCTAAGTGTATTATCAGCTAGGGGTGCATATGTCCTTGTTGAATTAAATATTAAATAATACCTTACTCATATTTTATAAAAGATGTATGTATTGTTCTGGTAGTTTCACTACAATTAAGACAAGTCTGCATACAATTGTTTATGCATAGATTAGGTCTTCACATGAACATTATTGAAAGTAGTCTAATTGATTTTTGCTTTAGAGAAATGCTGTCTTTCTTCAATATTGTACTTCTGAGTAATAGATTATTGACAAATGCTGTTGTAGGTGGATGCCGTGCTAGATCCCCTGCTTGGTCGTAACCTCATCAAAAGGGGTCGAGCCATCAAGATTGGTGATAAGGAGATGAACTTCAATCCAAAGTTTCGCCTGATACTACAGACAAAACTAGCCAATCCCCACTACAAGCCTGAGATGCAGGCTCAGACAACTCTAATCAACTTTACAGTCACACGAGATGGTCTTGAAGAACAGCTCTTGGCAGAGGTGGTAAAGGCAGAGAGACCAGACCTTGAAAAACAAAGGTCAGAATTAACAAAACAACAAAATGACTTCAAGATAACATTGAAGGTTGGTTACTGCCTTATATTTGTATTTTCATTTCATTCCTATTGACAAACAAATTCAAGTGGGAAGGTAGAAGTCACAACATTATATCCTGGGTGTATCTTCTCCACATCCTCTTTCTCTTCCATCTTCCTCATTTTCCTTTTCTTGTGGTTTTCCCATATACACAGGTTCCTGATTAGCACAGAAACTGACTACCCTGTCTGAGCTCTTTCATGACATTTCTGAGTCTTTTGAGGCTAAAGTATCTCATGACTAGTTCTATCAATATTTATTATACTAAATCCTTGTTTTGCAAATGCATAAGTAATAACATATGAGATTTGAAGTTTTCATCAGAAGTCATATTGTGCTCTTCTGGGTTGTGACAGCACAGTCATGAAGGTGCTTATTGAAGTTACTTCTACCTCGAACATTTGTGTATGTTCCTCTGAAATGTCAGTAACCACGTGGAAGACCACATGGTGTTGCAGTCCTGAAAAACACAATTTGAACTTTATTTAACTGATTTTTTTTTTTTTGATGACTGTAAAGACCAAATGCCAATCCTTTTTTGGTGTGCAGAATGAATTTTGATATAAAAATATTCCCAGCTGCTTATATGTTTTCATTTCTGTCCACCATCCCTCCCACCTTTTGCACAGCCACCCACTGCCATTAAATTGTGCTGTTTTTGGCCATTTTTTAGTTTTACATATATCAGATTATCTTGTCTTCCTACATTTTACATATAACTGAAATATTTTTATTTGCCTTTTTTACCATTATTTATACTTCTATAAATTAATGTGGAATTAATTTCTGTTTGATGAATGATTGCTTAATGGACAAATAGGATTTGAGGTTATCACTGCAGTGAGTATGAAGATGGTTGTCTTTTGGGTTGCACTACTGCTGTATAGATGTTTACCAACGTTTCAGTGGTGTTTGCTACCTCCATTGTTAGGGTGATGAGCAATTTCTACCAGACTAAATAGCAGAAACCCAGAAAACAGTCATATTCTTTGCTTCATGCAGACAATCAAACATTTTGTAAAACAAGGAGTTGTGGCATGGAGAAGGTTATACTACTGATTACTAATCAACCATCATATTGCACAGGCCTTAGAAGATGATTTACTGACTAGATTAGCTGCTGCTGGTGAAGATATTCTGAGTGATACTGCATTGGTGATTAATCTGGAGACCACCAAGAAAACAGCAGCTGAAATTGAAATCAAAGTAGAAGAAGCCAAAGTAACATCCAAAAGGATTGATGAAGCTCGTGAACAGTATCGTCCTGCTGCAACTAGAGCTTCTTTGTTATACTTCATCCTTAATGACCTTCACAAAATCAACCCCATATACCAGTTCTCACTGAAAGCTTTCAGCATGGTTTTCCAGAATGCCATAGCAAGAGCAGTTAAGTCTGATGACATTGGAGAATGTGTCACAAATCTCCTGGATTCAATCTCATACATGGTTTTTATGTATACTTCAAGGGGACTCTTTGAATGTGACAAGCTTATCTTTCTGGCACAGATGGCTTTCCAGGTATTGTTGACAAGTAAAGAAATTGATGCCACTGAGCTGGATTTTCTGTTGCGGTTCCCCATCACTACAAACCTGATTAGTCCTGTGGATTTCCTCTCCAGTACAAGTTGGGGTGGGATTAAGAGCCTGTCATTAATGATCGAGTTCAAGAACCTGGACCGTGACATTGAAGGTTCAGCTAAAAGATGGAAGAAATTTGTAGATTCTGAATATCCAGAGAAGGAAAAGTTTCCTCAGGAATGGAAGAACAAATCAGCACTTCAGAAGTTGTGCATGATGCGTGCTCTTCGCCCAGATCGTATGACATATGCCATTAAAGCATTTGTAGAAGAGAAATTAGGCACTAAGTTTACAGAATCTAGATCCATGGAGTTCACGAGGTCATTTGAGGAGACAAGTCCCACAATACCTGTATTCTTTATTTTATCACCAGGTGTAGATCCACTTAAAGATGTAGAAAAGCTAGGCAAAAAGTTGGGCTTCACATTTGATAAGCGAAACTTTCACAATGTGTCCCTAGGACAGGGACAAGAAACAGTGGCAGAGCATGCTATGGAAGTAGCTTCCCTTCATGGTCATTGGGTCATATTGCAGAATATACACTTAGTTCAAGCATGGCTTCCAATACTTGAGAAGAAGATGGAACAGTGTGAAGAAGGAGCACATCCAAATTATCGACTATTTATGAGTGCAGAACCTGCTCCTGGCCCAGAGTTTCACATTATTCCTCAGGTATGTTGTTGTTATTTTTGTTATTTTTATTTATTTGTTTGTTTGTTTATTTATTTATTTTATTTTCTAGTTTCTGCCTGTATTAGCTGTCTTGCTGTTGTCAAGCACATAAATAGTGTTTTGTTGTTGCTGTTATCATCATTTTTCATTACTGTTATTTTTATACAGTTTACTGATCCATTTCTATGCAATATTTCCACTAATAGAAATTCCATTTCCACTAAATTTTTAAGATACATTCTTGCACTATCATCATGCCTTTTTATCTATAATATATAAATTTGTAAGTTAACAGAAACTGTGGTAAATGGAAACACCTGTGAGGTGTACAACCACTCATTCTAAAGCTAATATCACCCAGATGTCTGTAAAAGTAAACATTTTGTGATACGGCTTACACAACCACACACACATACATATAGTTGGGTGACTAAATTAAATTAAATTAAATCCGTGGCGTAACAGCTCCAGAGAGCCAAAGCTGACTAGCTTGACTGCTGGCCTCATGTTCACATTCATAAGCAGAGGTGAACGATCTTCCAACCAGATATAGGGTGATGTGTGGTCAGCACGATGAACCCCCAGCCATTGCTAGTTTTCCTGACCGGATTATGCCACTTATTGTAGCTCCCCAATTTCCTCACGATGCTGAGTTGGCACTGGTCCCATACACTGGTCAAAAGCTTATGAGAAAATTTCTTCTCCCCCGAGACTCGAACCAGCGCACATTCCGTATCGCCGGTCCGAAGCATGATGCCTCAGACCGTGCGGCTACGGCGCGGGACAGACATAGATGGGTGACACATGGTTATAATGATACTATAACCTACTTTTCTTATAAAATAAGGCAAGTAATTTCTTATCATTCTTTTTTTTAAATGGTCTCCAAAATAAAACTGTATTTAAACATTAAACTGTAAATCTGAAACAAGAGGTGCATATAAAGTACTGCAATGTGTTTATTATTGCCAATAGGGTTTGCTTGAGTCATCCATCAAAATCACGAATGAACCACCTTCTGGTATGCTGGCGAATCTACACAAAGCTCTTGACAACTTCAACCAAGAAACACTGGAAATGTGTACCAAAGAAGCGGAATTTAAATCAATACTGTTTGTACTCTGCTACTTCCATGCTGTTGTTAATGAACGAAGAAAATTTGGTGCCCAAGGCTGGAACAAGGTGTATCCATTCAATGTCGGTAAGAATCTGACAAACATACAAGACATCCTGATGAGAACAGTTTTAATAGACCTTAAGTTGTATATATAAACAAACCATAACAAAATTAAGTCAGTAGTAGTATAAAAGTGAAGAATATATATATACTTTTTTACTGTTTTATAAACCTTTTGGAGACAGGAAGATTAAAAGTAAAGGGTGCATAAAACCTACTGTTTGTCTAATGAAATAAGACTGCAATGATGTGTCACAAAGTACATATAGATTCCAAATGTGTTGTCTGTGCTTTTGCATTTTCGTGGTCTTGATATTAATTTATTGCCAATAATATGAAAGTTATTTATAGAACTAAAAAGTAAAACAGTCCTGGTACATGCCATGTAGGTCACTTGGGGGGAGAGGAGATATAGCCCCAACTCATTCTTAACCTCAGTACTAGATGGAGGTGATGAGCCGGGATAGCTCAGTCTGTATAGTGACTAGTTACGGACTGGACGACCGGGGTTCGATCCCCGATGGGGGGCAGAGGATTGATGGAGGTGAGTGGTCAGCATTGCACCCCAGCTGTGCTTTACCCCTTGGAAAGGACTCTGGTACCCATTGGATAGGAGGCTAGGTGGGCCCCAGAGCTGGTCTGGATGCAGAGACTAGAGGAAAAATCCTCGAACAATAGTTGTCCAGCCCAGAGGTAGTCACTATACTGACTGAGCTATCCCAGCTCATTATTTATAGAACTACCCACAATAAGAATAATACACTGCAGAAATTTACAAAATATACTGTTCATAAAGCTCTTCACTTTTGCTCCACATTAACACTTGGTTGCCTGAGAATAAATATACTGCATGACTTGAAGAAAGCCTGTGATTAGTTTTCATTTGAGGTACTATAACACATTCCATTGAATTCAGTATATCAGTGAAACTAATTTGGTTAATTATAATGTGTTTAAATTTGCTTTTAGGCGATCTCACTATTAGCATAAGTGTCTTGTACAACTACTTGGAGAACAGCTCAAAAATTCCTTGGGAAGATTTGCGGTACCTTTTTGGTGAAATTATGTACGGAGGACACATTACAGATGCTTGGGACAGACGACTGTGCTGCACATTCTTACAGGAATGGTTGCAGGTAATCCTTTTCTTTGTGCTTGTTTCTATAATTTCTTCCACAGAGGGCATAAGTCTGCTGTTGTAGCTCTCACAAAGTAGTAGCTGGTAATCTGAGCAAAGAACCAAAACAGCAATGTACAATCTGATCAAGTTGTGAAAATACAATGAAATATAATAGGAGAAGAGATTTTTATTGGCAACACAGCAAGGGAAGAGACCACTTAGGAGACTTGGGCATATGCATGATACAGTGAAATCTCCAATTTAAATTATTGTAGGGGACAAAGTAATTTCATGTAAAACTGTAGAAAATTCTAAGTGGAGGGAATTAAACACTAAAATTATTCACTGAGGAACACTGACTTTGATCATTAACCCTCTGGCTGCAACTGATGAGATACCTCTCACATTTTTTCCATTAGTGTGCATATTGGATGAGATAAACTTGCTAAGGTATGAGTACATGTTCCATCTATGGAATTTTGTTCAACTGCATGGTCAAGCTCCCAAGTATCACAATCACATTTCTCATATGCTTATTCTTTTGCTTGTATTGATTTCATAATAAATTAAATTTAGAATGTAAAAAGTCAGATGTTCTTGGGAAACACCAAACATTTCTGGTGAACAGCCAAAGTGTTATAAATGTTTAAAAATTTAAATCAAGGGGTTCTATTGTAATATTGAAATGAATATTATGAATCTGTGAAGATGCAAATTGGATTTAATTGATTTAGGATAGTGTCCAACAATGGGCATATGTGATAACAGAGGTGAACCTTAGGCTTCCTCAATAATAGAGAAGATTTTTAATCAGCTGAAAAACCATAAGCTGCTGAAGGCAAAATCATGTATTAATTCAAAACTTGGATAAAATATTAGACAGAAGAAAAGTTTAGTAATGTTTCTTTTCTTTGGATAATTATCATGTTCATGTGGCCATCTGTCATACATTTATCCAAGCATTTATCTATCCCCTGTAAAGATTTTTGAGTCAGTTGATAGGTATTCATAATGCTTTGTTTGAACAACATGTCACTGGATGCTATCCCACCCTTTTTACTAATTTCCCCAATCAGTAATGCCAATATGGCAGCTATGTGAAGCTGTGTGGTGGGAACAACTCTAGTAGTACATTAAATTAGGAACTGAAATTGTTGTTGTTGTTGTTTGTTTGTTTGTTTTTGTTTGTTTTTTTCATTTAAATTTAATTTTTTTGGTACTAATAAACCATGTGAATCCTCTTATGGAGATAGACTGTGTGCGTACCCACATATTATATATGTATCACTTCTGTGATGTTAATAATTACAAACATGATGATGGGATAAAACTTTTAGGTTATATGTGTACATTTTAATGCAATTTTGTAGAAGTGGAAATTTATACAGAAAGTGAAAAATAAATTGTGTAAATGCTAATTTAAAATACCTGCAAACTTCACCTTAAAGTCTGAAGCACTTGAAGAAAAACTGGCATTATATGCATTTTTCAGAACATCTTGTATGTTAAACATTGTGTATTGATCCACAGGATGAACTACTAGATACTGAATTATTACTAGTATCAGGATTTCCCACTCCTACAAATATGGATTATGCAGGGTATCACAGATATATTGATGATAGCTTGCCAGATGAGTCCCCCTGTCTATATGGTCTACATCCAAACGCAGAAATTGGTTTCCTCACCACAGCCTCAGAAAATTTATTCCGTACAGTGTTTGAGATGCAACCACGGGACTCTGGAGCAGCAGGAGCCACTACAATCACAAGAGAAGATAAGGTTAGTAGAATAGTGTAAACTTCATTTAATGATTTTGGGAAAAATATAAGGGATTTTCAGTTTGAGATCATCAGAAGATCATGGGTTTAACTCTAGGCTGAAAGACTGACTATCCTGTATTAAGTTTCCAATGGTTTTCCTCTTGTACCTCAGGAAACTACTAGGATTGTACCTCAAAAAAGACCATGGCTGTTTCCTTCAATACTCTTTTCAGTTCATCATTTATAATGTTCCTATCATGTCCCATTCAACACTGTGTAATGTATGCAATTAGAAAACCACTGTTAAATAATATGAAGGATTGTTATGTGGATAAGATGGCAATTATAGGTGTATAAAAATGTGTCCAGTAGTTCTTTCAGTGATAGTTTGAGCACAAATAACTGTGGCCAACTTCTTAACCATCTGAAGGAGTTAAAATGTCATGGTCATGATTTGTAGCTCTGTAAAGACCTATAAGAGCACTAGTCAGCTATCAGTTACTGAAGACTGGTAATTTCTTTTAAATGTGGAAGACCATAACATGGTGTAATCACCCAAACATGAAGATATGAGTTTCAAAGAACTTTTTGTTTACAACTTATTCATAAATACTAAATTCTTTGAAACTCACATTTTTTATGTTTGTCTGATGACTCCATGTCACAGTATCCCAAATTTAAAAGAAACACCAATCTCTATTTATGGACAACTGACTAGTCCTATTTATAGTACCAAATCATACAGTAGGGTAGAACTTAAAAATGTTGGGCAACCTAACTTCCTTGTCATGGTGTCATCACAGGTCTTCACAAACACATGAAATATGAAATCTGAAGTTGTTACAGAAGTGAAAGATGTTTTTGCTGTCTTCTGCATTATAAAGTTACTTATATCTTGAACATGTAGGTGGCAGCAAGTTCTTCCATAAAGTTAATAACAACTTACAGGATTCTGTTTTACAAAGCCAGAAATTACATTTATTTACCTGTATTTGTAAAGCAGATGCTTTCAGTTGAAGATGATTGTTTCTGTCATTATCAGTTAGTAATATAATTTCTCAGGTAAAACAAGTGTTGGAAGAGATAATTGACAAAGTTCCAGAGCTATTCAACATTGCTGAGATTATGGCAAAGGTTGAGGAAAGGACTCCATACATCATAGTTGCATTCCAAGAATGTGAACGAATGAATTTCCTCATGGCTGAGCTGAAACGTTCCTTGAAAGAACTAGATCTTGGGTTAAGGGTAAGTACATAACATCTCCCTGCCCCTTCCCAAGAACATCTGTTTATACTTTTGCAGTGACTGACAGGAAGTGCATCAGAACTTATTGTAACATTTCTTCATGTACCTTTTGAGTTTAAAAAGGTGGCTGTCTTCTGGGTTATGAGGAGGCTAGGGCTCGATTTTGGGCTGTTACGCCATAGTAGTAGTAGTAGTAGTAGTAGTCTTCTGGGTTATAGCAGAAATCTTTCTCTTAAGACAAGAAGTATGCTTATGAGATCACGATGTGTTTCTTTCAACTTTTGAATCAGTTGACCAAATTTCATGAAATCTGGTATTTGTCCTATTTAGGCCTGTTTTAGGTACACAAAATAGAGTCCTTACATTATTCTGTGTGTCTTCCTAAGCTTGTTTTCCTTTGCTTGATATTCTTTTCCTTCAGTTTATACACAAGTACCAGTTACAGCATTGAAAGGTTAAATTGACTAACATACAATTATAGGGTGAACTGACCATCACAGAAGAAATGGAAGCCTTAGAATCATGCCTCTTTCTGGATCAAGTACCACCCAACTGGACAAAACGGGCATATCCATCTATGCTGACCCTGGGACCCTGGTTTGCTGATCTGATGCTGCGACTAAAGGAATTGGAAGCCTGGTCATCAGACTTTAATGTGAGGTGTCTTTTATTCTTGCTTGAGTTTAGATGCAAGGGTGGCTGAAATTTGTCCCCAAACTTTAATTGTTTTTCATAACTCTGTCATTTTTTGATAGTCATTTCATGGGATGCGACAAGTGTAAATATATACGCTGTAATCAAAATTTCAAATCAGATTTAAACCTCCTGTGTAATACATTGTTCCAATATGTGAGCCAGGATAGCTCAGTAAAGTGACTGGATACTGACTAGACAGCTAGTGTTAAATTCCCAGCATGGACAGAGATCTACACCACTTCTGGATCCTCCTTCAAAGTTGTGCTACGATTATGAATGTGTGGAGCTTTATCTCTATAACTGTACATGGTGCAGTGCGTATACTCAGGAGAATGTTTCATTTTTTAATGTACAGTAGTAGGTTACTCCTTCTCGAAGGTATCACCACCTTGTCGAAGGCAATCTGCCGGGTGAGGAGGCTTGTATGCTCAAATGACCCTTAGGGCTATGCTGGGCGGAGCTTCAGCTCATGGTAGGGTCACCCAAGCCGGACAAGTCTAAGGTGATGTGCTAGACTAAGAGTGATACCCTGGTCCTCCAGGTTGGGGGTTGGGCATAAGGCTAACAACCTTTCACCGTAAAAAAAGCATCGTTATGAAAAAAATTAACTAAGCCTCGGACCAGGACGGACTCTTTGGCATGACCAAGGCAACTGAAAAAGGACATGAGATTTGGTACTTGGAACATTAGGAGCCTCTATAGGGCTGGGACACTGAAATCAGTGAGTAGGGAATTAGAGAATTATAAGTTAGATTTAGTGGCAGTGCAGTTGATCAGATTCCAGCAGAATGAATTAAAGCAGGTGGCAAAGGGTTGCATATGAGGATCCATAAGCTTATTCAGTTAATTTGGGATAAGGAAGAGATGCCACAACAATGGAAGGAATCCATAATTATTCCTATTCATAAGAAGGGGGACAAGACTGAGTGTGGTAATTACCGAGGAATGGCAATTTATTTACTAACTGAGCGACTATTACTGTCTGAATAAATTCGTAAGTCCTTGAGCTTTGTTACTCCAGTCGAAACGTCATCATGCGCGGTAAACGTCGTTAAATAATCAATATATCGGCATATTCACTGGGTTGTCGCTCCTGTCGTCACTTGAACGTGTATTGTGGCTTCGTGTCTGTACACGAGAAAGTTACGGTCTTAAGCAAGCTTCCAGGTGATGTAGTCTGAAATGTTCGTAAAACACATAAACAGACTTCTCCTGTACCCGAACATATCAGACCTCAATTGGTCACATCTCTAAGCTCCTTAGTAATATTGTCCTTCCATGTCTGTGTCGGACGTCCAAGTAATTTCTATACAGTGGTTTCTGTACAAAATTTTTATATTCCTCGCGATTAGAACATTGTACTGTCTTATTTATCATCACAAAACAATTGATAAATTACCATTTTTATGATAAATTTTAACCTTAGGGTAGCTAATAAGTGCTTTAAAAGGGTTACAAAGTTCAAATATCTGGGAACAACAATAACAAATCAAAATGATACTCATGAGGAAGTTAGGAGGAGATTAAATTCTGGAAATGCTTGCTACTTCTCAGTTCAAAATATTTTGTCTTCCCATCTGATTTCTAAGAACATGAAAAGTAAAGTATAAAAAACAATAATCTTGCCTGTTGCTTTGTATGTGTGCGAAACATGGCATCTCACTCAGAGGGAGGAACACAGATTGCAGGTGTTTGAGAACAGGGTGTTGAGGAGGATATTTGGGCCTAAGAGAGAAGACAGTGGGGCATGGAGAAAACTGCATAATGATGAGCTTAAAAATCTGTACTCCTCCCCCAGTATTGTCAGGGTGATTAAGTCGAGAAGAATGAGATGGGCGGGGCGTGTAGCGCACACGGTTGGTACAAGAGGTGTGCACCGGGTATTGGTTGGGAAGCCTAAGGGGAAGAGACCGCTGGGGGACCTAGACGAAGATGGGAGGATAATCTCAGGCGGGATCTATGGGAGATAGGAGTTGAAGGAGACTGGATTTCATTGGCCCAGGACAGGGTCCGTTGGAGGGCTTTGGTTAATTCGGTGATGAACCTTCGGGTTCGGTAAGCCATCTAGTTAGTTAGTAGTAGGTTACTAGTTGTTATTCTTTATTTCAGCTTCCAGCAACTATATGGCTAGCAGGATTCTTCAATCCTCAGTCTTTTTTGACAGCTATTAAGCAATCAACAGCCCGTAAGAATGAGTGGCCATTGGACAAAATGTGTCTCCACTGTGAAGTGTCCAAGAAACAGAAAGATGAATTTATGTGAGTAAAATGCAATGTTGGGGAGAATATTCAGATACAGTAGACTGTGTGAAGTTTCATAATGCAGAATGTCATAATTTGTTTTCATCACCTGGTTATGTTATGGTGATTAAATCAATTAGGTGGGATGATATCATTACAACAACATTTAAGAGACAAGGTTATGAGGATCAGAGGATAGAACCGGCTTCAGATCACATCCAGTGGCATGTTTTGATATTAATGGTGTTAAATCTAGGTTCTGCTGCCAAAGGAGTTAGTTTAGTTGTTATGAAGAATGTGTGCTGTAAATGGCGTTGCTATATTGAAATGTTACAGGTCAGCTCCTCGTGAAGGAGCATATGTGCATGGCTTGTTCATGGAAGGTGCACGCTGGGACATTCAGACTGGTTCTATCATGGAGTCTCGACTCAAAGATTTGTTCCCAGTCATGCCTGTGATTTTCATAAAAGCAATTACACAAGACAAACAGGATATGCGGAATATGTATGAGTGTCCTGTCTACAAAACACGTGTTCGAGGACCAACATACATCTGTACTTTCAATCTTAAAACAAAAGAAAAAGCAGCTAAGTGGACAATGGCTGGAGTAGCAATTCTTCTACAGATTTAGATTCTAACTTGTTGATCATTAGTTGTTTCATTCAGAATTATAGTCTTAGTACCTGTCAGTTGTTGTGATCTATTGCTGAAATTATTGTATATTAGTGTTACTCAATAATAGTCTCTAAATAGTGTTGAAATACTTGCATTATTTTTATCAGAATTTGGGATACTCTTTCATGCTGACTTCTTGTTTCCTTTCCCTCATTCATAAAATGGCCCAATTTTGCATCAAGATATCTGTATTGGTCTCCTTGTGTGTGTGTATTTATTTTCTGGTGGTCCAGCCACTGAACAGTATTTCATATGCTATTAAAATACCAATAGTTAGTTTCAATTCCAGTAATGTCATGTGCAGCCAAGTTAATACAAAGGTTAACAGAAGAGTATGCATCAGATGAAACAGGAAACTACTTATAGTAATAAATAAAATTTAAACTTATGAGCTGACATACAGTGAAACTAGCAAGAACTCTTAATTAATTTTATACTATTGTTGTGGCTGTGTAATTGTTGTTTACATCAATGTTTGAAGGCCTTTCTTTAAACATTTCATGAACTTTTATTAAAGTTAGTATGAACATGTTCTTAATAAGAACGTTTTATTTTATTCATAAAGTCTGCCCAAAAGACGTTCATAATTAGTTTTGACGGAAAAATTTGTTAATCAGTGGGAAAGCACGTTTCAAATATCTTTCAAGGAAAATGTTCTTCATACATATCGTTGCTGCACTGAATAAAGAATAATTCCTGTACAGAATGTTGTTTAGAAATTTGCACGACTGACTCAATTCTGGTGTCTTGGCGTTTAAAAAACGCGATGTCGGTTTCGAATCTCATTTTAAGTTTCCATATTTTTTCTACCCACAAGTCCTACCTACAAAATCATGCAATAAATAAGATCCACTTGCAGAAGCGAAGAAGAAGAAGTTTATGGTTACAATAATTGTCTCAAATAGGGACATTTCTTCCGTTTATTTGGCGACATTGATAGGGAGTGTAGTGTGTATGGGTAAGAGATGTATTTTCAGGTTTATGCAATGAAAGCAGAAAATTGTCCATTTTGACAGTAAACACATGCCTCTTCATGATGTGTAGCTGCATGTGATACAAGCTTACTACTTAACATGTGTGAATATTTATGGGAACCTCTCGCTGAAGTGCATCTAAGTTTAGCTGGCCGTCCCAGTGACGAAAACATCTATTGTCTGTGCAGCAGAGTGTTTATTCGGTAACGTAGCTTCGTTTATTGTTTTGCAATATGGTTTAAGTGTCTGAGTATAATACGTGCGAAAGTCTGCTGACATAGCAGATGATATTTTCAGTTTCGCCCTTTCTGCATTTAGGTTATGTTAGTGATGAAGTCAGTCCTCAGATATGTTATGAAAAATTATAACCGAAAACGATGTAAAACGATAAGTAAATTGTTTATTTGGCATATCATTAGAATTTAGTTCACTTCGTTCACTGGTGTTTAAGTCGTGATATTATAACAGGAATAGTTAATTAGTTATTTTCGTAATTGAAATTACAAGTCACAGTAACTGAAATATCAGGACTGGTGTAATGGTCCGAATTTATATAGGTTGGACTATTCTTATAGGGCGTGTTACCGTAAGTAAAATTAAGAGAACTATTACTATGGTATAACCAGTTATAACTTTCTGAATTTAATTTGTATTTACAGTTATTGTTCCTAACATACGTATTTTAAAATTGCTTAACCATCTAACCTGTTACTGAATTTTGGTTTCATTGGTTTTTAATTAAACCCATATTCAGTGACCACAGAGCTGAGAGAATGATTGAAATATATTCAAATTTTAGCACATATTTCTGGATATGACTGTGTGCATAAAAGTACATTATTTAGTGAACCTGGAAAAAAGGCTCAAGGAACAAGAGGACAAGTAGCATGTATCTTCTCTGAATGAACCCAAGGTACCCCAAAGAATTTTAATATAAAAAAAATAGGTTAGAAAGTTGTATAACATCTTAGAAGAAAACATGAGGGTTAATTCTTAGAACAGGCAAAGGCTTGCCTTGTTATGACAGTTTACAGTTACTAGGCCAAATAAATGAATCCAACATGTTCATAGTTATTGATCATTGTATTGTAAACATGCATTTATAATTCTGTGGCAGTTTGGAGGAAGTTCTAGGTTAGAATGAGATCTGTCTGAGAAAACATTGAATTTTATTGTTCATTAGTGATTACAGTAGTATAGAATAGCTGTGTATTGTTTGTGAGTGGTTTAATCATATGGCATGTGAACTTCATTATGAACCCTTTCTAGTGATGGTAATAACCTGTCCAAAGGAATGTGTGAGAAGGCAGATGGCAGTGAGGATGATAGCACTCAGTATGATGAATATGATGAGGCCAATATTTTACCCTTTCATGTTAACACTGCCTTAAATGAAAATCGTCCTGTCAGAACAGTTGGAAAGAACGATACAGTAAGTACATTATCACAACTTTTTTTAATATTGGTTTTAAGGATATAATTATGTTTCAATTATAATGTCTTATGGAAGCACTTTAAATAAGAATCTTGGTCCAGAGATCAGCTATCCTGTGGACTGTAATTCATACCCAGGATTACCTGGATATGAACCAAAGTGTACTCACTTTATTGTGCTGTATGGTAAGCTGAGTGTGAATTTCTTAATATTTGTTTGTGGCATTTGGTGCACTAAGACTAGTTATTGCCAGTGTATGTCTGTTC